TTGCTGTGACAACTGCCGCAAAGCCCGGCAAGCGAAGCCGGCTGTCCAAGTGGACTCCGCTCCGCTGGACGTGAGTGGCGAGTCCCGTCTGCTGCTGGGCATGCTGCGGGATCTGAATGGGCGATTGGGTTTGGGCAAACTCATCATGGCGCTGCGTGGCTCACGGAGCAAGTGCATCAGCAGCGAGTGCCGCAGCCACGAGCACTTCGGCAAGGGCGCACACCGTTCCATAGCGTGGTTCAAGGCCCTGGCGGAACATCTGAAATCCCTAGGCTATATCAAGGATGACTACCAGCGCAGCACGAAAATCACCTTTGGCTACCTCATGCCTCAGGTGACGCTGCAGGGCTGCTGCTGGCTGGACGAGGAGCCAGCGAAAGCTCAACCAATAACCGTTCAGCCCGATTCTCGTTTGGCCAAACTGCGGCAAACGTGTCGCATGGGTAAACTGGCCAACGACGATCTCGACTGGGGCTCCGATATCGATCCAAATGAAGTGGACGAGGCAGTGGAGAAAAGCGAGAACGATTCGGTCTGGGGACCCGATCTGGACATAGACTTTCAGCAAATCGACGAGGCCGTTGCCAAGTCGAAGCAGCCTCCTCCTGCCGATCAGTTGGAGCTGGAATCTTTACTTGCCGACTGTCAAAAGATCCTGCACGAGGAGCAGGAGGAAGCGGTGCGCACTCTGAAGGCGCGCAAGCGCGTCTGGCAATATCTCGAGGGCAGCTACCAAAGGCGACCCCTCATACCAAAGTACAAAAAGCAATCGACTTAACAAATAATATAGTAATATACATATATACATATAGTATATATATCTTTTGATATATATCGATATTCCTGTTCCTAAACTCAAAAGTAATATATAACTAGTTTGAATTTGTTTTTCACATACTTTTTCTTAGCTCATTTTCGTTTCCATTGTACTTACAATTTACAAGCAAATAAAATGTCAAATGTTTTATTTTTCTATATATTGAAATATATATGTATATTTTTAGATAATATGCGATATATTTTTATTATTATATTATAATATTCTTAAACACTTTAAATTCGTAGGGCTTACCCTGGCCTTTATTTTTTTTATTTGAATTTATTAAGCTGTCTGTAAAAATAAATATTTTGGGTTATGACGCAGACTTACAGAGATTAGGTATATTATAAATGCGTTTATAAGCACTAGATTAAAGTCAAATTTATAATTTTAGCAGAAAAAGTGCCAAAAGCTATTGGTTAGGGTAAGTAAGTTTATAGATTAAGCATCGCATACCATGTATGTAGTATACATAAGGAGAAAGGGAAAGAGAGAGAGAGAAGAGAATGAGGTTTCCAAAACTTCAGTGAATCATCACTATGATGGTGGCGCATCGGCTAACAGATTATTGCCATCGGCAGTCGCTGGACGACTTTCGCAGCTGTCCTCGCCGCTGCTAGTGGTGGAGGCGCCCTCCTCGGGCGATACTTTGGCCGCCTCATCCGCCTCCTGTTGATTGTCCTGGGCATTGGCGCTGGCCTGTTCAGACTCCTCGGCATCGCCACCCTTTTTGTTCTGCAACGATAGATATGAAATAGTAATATAACTATATATGTATATATGTATGTATACTAGCTGATCCAGCAAACGTTGTTTACCATATCTATTATTTCTAGGGATTATTTTGTACTTAAATACAAAATTGATAATTTACTATAAGTCAAGAAAATTAATGGTGGTCCAACCTTTTTAACTTAGGGCTATAAAAAAAAGATGTTGGCATATTCTCAGATCTACCCAACAGGCACACAAAATTTCGTGAGAATCGGTGGAACCGTTTCGGAGGAGCTTACATACATATGTAAGATAAGACATGTGTATATAGCTATATGTATTGGAGTAGTTAATCACCTTCTTGCGCTTCTTGGGCTTCTCGGCTTTGACCGCATGCAGCTCGGCCTCCTCCTGCTGTGCGGACTTATAGGTGGGCGGAAAGAATTTTGCTGCCTCCTTGTGGCCCACCACGGAATTGGGACTGACATAGCTAGGACCATATTCCATGAGCAACGGAATCGTTGGGCCCGGCACCTTGTTCACTTTCAGCACAATTTTATCGGTGCTGGAACCAAATCAGAAAAGGAAGAAATCTCTTGATATTGATGTAGAATAGTTGCAGAATCTCTCCACCTACGGTACATAGGGCTTGGCATTGTACTTTTCCACGGAGTTGGCAATGAAAACAGCCGTCTCTGGATTATCGCTGGAGAAGAAGCCATAGAGTGGCACATCCTCTTTACAGGCTTCCACCAGATTGATCAAGTCCTTCTTCTTGTACGCATCGAAGGTCATGATAATGTGCGGAGGCTCTGGCACTGGGTCGGGGGGTAAGAAATTTGCGGTCTGTGCCCTGAAATACGTATAGATGAGAGCTGCATGCGTCCTCTGATCACTGGGCACCCAGATCGGTGGGATTTTGATGGTCTTGAACTGTATAGCATCCTCTGAATCGTGATCCTCCGGGTTATCTTCTGGGTTCGCTTCCACTGAAAACGTAAAGATCATTCCAAATGGGAAAAATCACATTCGATATATATCGAAATCGATTTTTGATTCAATTCAGTTCAGTTGCTGTCTAGTATTACCTTCAACTTTGACCTGTACCGTTATTTCGAGATCTGTTATCAGAGGAGGTAGAACGGTCTCCTCCTCGTTGAATTCATCGGGTGGCTTGATGATGTTCTTGGTCAGCTCGTTGGCATACTGTTGCAGTACACTGGGAGGCGTACCAAGACTTTCCTCCACCTTCCAGAAGCACATAAGCAGCTCCTTGTCGTACAAGTATTGGATAACTTCCTGAGGCAATGGATCCTCGGCCGCAAAGTTAACGGTGTTGAAATCACTTTGCGTGATTGTAAAGACTTTACGATCTTTGCATTGGATCTTCAGTGGATCAGCCGGCTCAGAGAGCTTCTTGAACATATCACGATTCACTTGTGGCCCAAATACCGTTATGCCAATATCTGGCAAATTCTCCATAATCGTATCGGTCACATATCTCAAGTACTCGATGCGCTTCCTTCGGCACTCCTCCTCCTCGATTTTGGCCGCTTGCTCGAGCGCCTCGTTACGAATGCGCAACTGTTCGAGCTCAATCGGTTGCAGCTCGGTTATTTCGTAGGTCTGATGGGGCTCTCGAGCGATGGTCGCCTCCAGCTCACGTGTGATCATGGCCACCAGCTTGGGCACATCGGTGCCGAACATGATGTTAATCGCCTTACCATTCTGAGTATAAAGAGAGCATATTGAGATGGTGCTCAAGTCGAGGACTGTCACCCATTTGAAAGACCAAATTACGATTTTCACTGTCGTACTTACGGCAACAAACATCCAAGTAGGTTCGCTTTTCTTGTTAAACCGCTGCAGATACGAAATTGAGCCCGCTTTGCACTATTTTCATAGAGATTCGGATATTATTTGCGAGTATAAACTCCAAATATCGGACTTACAATAGCCAGCTGCAAATTATCGCCACCCAGCTCCAGTTTGATCTTACGCAGACTTCCCACCATGCCCAAGCATGGACCACACCACTCCGAATATATATCGAGCACTGGAAATCGAAAATACCTATGTTGGTTTTCTGTTTGAGCAACTTCTCCTTCGTCTACTTTTCTTTATTACCCAGCAATCCGGGTCGCTGCAAGAACTTTTCAAACTCCTCATCGCTGCTGATGTCCGCCTGCAGCTGCTGAACTCCGCCTTTCTTTGCCATTTCATGCAAAATGATTCGCATAATTGGTTCGAGCGTGCAATTTTCCATGGCTATCCGACTACATAGTCCATACTAGCGCATAATTTATTGATTAAACTTCGCTTCAGGAGCCGGCATTGGCCTTTGCGGGCAGGACGGGGCGTAACCAAGTTGGGAATAAACAAGGTTTACAAAAACCAAAGGGTTTCGTGACAGGAACCAAGAGATCTTAAGTGTCTTTTGAAGCCTGCTAAAGGTTCTACTGGATATACTATATAGCTATATATATGCATATGTATATACATGCCTTTACAGGGTATAAAGAGAATTATTATGTTTAGAAATCTCAAGGAAAGTAGAAAGAAAATTCTACAAGTTATATGCATGTCAACAAAATGATGGTATAAACAAAGCTAAACTGTCATTTCTGCAAATCTAGATTCAAATACTAGACACTCTCACCTATGTTAACCATACCAAAAACATAGAAAAATCTACAAATAACTTCTGCTTAGCTTCCGCCTTCCATGAAACCCTCAAATTGGAACAGAGCTCGAGTATTCTATTCTTTCTTTTTACAGGGTATATGTTAGTGATCATTTCCAAAGTAGTATTAGAAGCTTATAATGCATGCAAGGGTCTTCATTTCCTTTGCTGACTCCGCATAAAATCAATAAAAACCAGTTTTATGGGGTTGTTGTACGTCTCTTAACATTTCGTTGGTTTAGCCCAAACCTAAAGCCAAATGAAATGTTTTTTTTTTCTTAGAATCCACTCAATGTTTTCATTACTTTAATATAGATCATTAAATTCAATATCCAGTGCAAAAAACGCATAATACGTCGACGTAATACAAACATACACACCACACACAACATATATTTTTATATATATATGTATATATATACAGGTATATATGCTCATATAGATACATATACACTTACATATGTAACCATATGCACATATATACACATATATGTATTTATATCTAAAATACCAGTTAATCGTTATACAGCTTAAAATAATGAATAATGGAAATATATGAATATGTAGACAGATGCATCGGTCTCTGCTTCAACTGTGGGCCTTAGCGTGAAGTTAACTGCAACTGATACTGTGGATGTGCAACAAAAAACTCGATTTGGGAGGGCAACGAACCAAGTCTGGAGAGGAGTTAAAGGAAGCCATAGATGAGCTGCTCCAATCATGAATTTAGCTATATGCCTCATTTTTAGAATTTTCAGTTATAGGTTTTTTTTTTAGAATTTGCAATAGTTGGTCTTGTTGGTGCTTGGTTGTTTGGTTGTTTTGGTTAGTGTAAAGCACATTGGGTGTTAGGCAATCGATGTGCTGGACTAGACGCCATTGGACAGTTAGTTTTGTTCGCCTATTCTAGGCCCAGCATCCAATTGATGCCTTGTACTATGAAGAATATGAGCGGCTGCCATGCGACGAGCCATCGAATCCAATCCAGTAGCCTGCCATAGAGTACATGAGGTTTCTCCCAACTGCAATGGGCCAAACATTTTGAGTAAAATCATTAAATAGATAACTTTACGTGCCACCTACGGATTGCGAAACATTTTCTGTAAATCGACCTTCTCCTTGCAGTAGGGACACGTCTGTTTCTTGCCCACAATGCACCAGCCTCGTATGCAGAACTCATGGAACACATGATTGCACGACAACTTGTAGGTGTTCTCGATGACACCCTCTTCCTTTTCAGAGACCAGCAACTGATTGCCACACACGGCACACACATTCTGGTCCAGATGTCGTGTGGGCATGCCCTGCGGCGTGTAGTACTGCAATACAAATGGAAATATATATAAATACACGTATCTAAGATGAGAAGTAGAATTTGACGTACACCTATGGCTGCTGCCATTTTATCTGAACATATTTCGGATATATCGCGACCCAGTACGCCAATATAGAGGCCATAGAAACAGAACATGAGACCCACATCCATCCATATATTGGGCGGCTGTGAAAATATATAGTTCATGCCAAAAAAGGCGGCCATTATGACCAGATAGCCAATAATGCCGAGGCCATAGCTCAATTTGTAGATAAAGTAAAACCACTTATAAACGAGCCTGTAAATGATAAGAAAAAGTATATATGTATATCAGCTTAATTTAAAACAAAAATCAATGAAATTCTCTATCTCTCTCTCACTCGCTCGCTCACCTGGGCGTTGTGCCCTGTATGGGTTTTGTTGTGGCCCGGCGCATTACTAGCGCCGTAATGCAGGTGAATATCAGCCAGATAATAATGAATCGTACCCAGAGAAAGCTGCAGGAGATAACTAGCGGGATTAGCCACATGGCCAGCAGTGTGACAAATGCATAGGATCTGTAGTGCCGCTTCTTCCATTCGACCAATATAATTTGGGCAATGACTAAAGTCACAAACAATATGATAACCATTTCTGAGTGCATAGCATCATGGCCCTTGTGTTTCTCAATCATCAACTGGTGATCGGCCCTACGAGGAAAAGAAACCACACAAATAATTCATGTTTAGCTGAGTGTACCAGTAAATGTATCAGTAAATGTAGGTGTGTTGGCTTACCGCATTCGCTCCTCCGGCGTCATTTCATCCAGGGACTGTAAGAATTACACATTTATTGCAATAGCTTCCATCTAGATGACAAATAATTGGACGTGCTCCACTTACCTTGTTGAGGTCCACTGCGGCATGGAGATCCATGTGCTGCTGATGCATATTGGCGCTGTGTGTCGGCGCGTACAAACCTTGACGACGTCTGCGTCTCTGTGGAATTTTGTCTTCAGTTTGTTCCTTGGGCCCACTTACAATTTACCTAAGTTATATATAGTCTAAATAGAAAACAAATAATACGAGGCAATATTACATATTGTTCCTGTTTGCCATTTAAATGGCGTTGCCACTTGCCACAGACCGACCGCCTAGGGGCGCTGCCATTTGTCAAGGGCGCTAGCGATCATCATCATCGTTGCCTTTCACTTACACAAAAGACACATATTTCTCAATAGAAATACAAATTTGCCAATTATAATCAGCTGTAATCGCTAATACAATTTGTATATCTGACAACTGTAACGTCTACAGCAGGCGTTGCCACGTACACGCAATGGCCGAAGCTGTCTCAGCTGATTGGCTCTGACTATCGATAACTGACAATTCTGACATTTGACAGCACAGCGGCAATTGTTTATAAACTAAAACTTAAAGCTAAGCGAGCGTAAACAGTATGCAAAAGGAACACTGGGGCGCCATTGAGGAGGAGTGCGGGACATTTGCGTTAGACAAATATGTACCCACGACGGCCAAAAAGCCGAAACTGGATGAGCTACGGCACCGCGGGGATTTGATGTCCACGGATAAACAGTGAGTACAGTGAAGCCCGCCGACTAGTAGCACAGCATAATGTATATTTTTGTATAGAGATAAAATCGAGCTGAAGAGCTCACTGGTCACACAAACCATCGAGGTTATGAAACAAACCGAAGTGCTGCAATCTCTCATCGACACCTATTCGAACAAAAACGTAAGCCAATTAGCATACTAGAATATATGCACATATTAATCTTGGTGTTTGCTGTATTAAGGGAACCTCCAACTATCTGCTAAATCCCTGCCAAATGATACCCGAAGTAGACTTTCCGCCAGAGAACGCCGCCGACTTGGTCAGCGAGCAAAAGTTCCAGAAACCCATCTGGTTCATACCTACTGTGGATACCGCATTCTCTCGAGGCGATCCACAACCATATCCAGAGATCTCCACCAACACCTGCCGGTATACGATGCGTAAAGTTATGTGCGGTCTGCTCCGGCTGGCGGGCTTCACGGACTGCTCTGAATCGGCGGTAATACTGCTGACAGATGCGGCCGAGGAATTCATGCGCAGCTTTATCACAGAGTATCGCGGCTTCTACGACATCGATGACAAACTGGAGAGGTCAACGATGCTGCAGTTGCTACCGCTAGAGCAAGCGTACTTCAGCATGACGGGCACCTCGCTCACCCAGGTGCACAACTACTACAAGCATAAGGTGATATCGCGTAATCGCGTCGAGATCAGCGAATTCACCAGCGTGCTGCATGAATACGACAAGCTGATGAAGGAGAGCCAGAGCAGCATGCAGAAGCAGCAGCAACATCTGCAACAACAGCAGCACAACCAACACGATTTCAATGGGCACGATTTTCTTAACATACTCGAAATGCAGCCAGGCGAAGATGGGGGCAGCAGCGCGACTGGTAGCAACAGCATGGGCAACATCGTTGGCGAAATGCTGCAAGAGCTCGGCGGCAGCACCAACTCTAGCATCTCGCTGAGCAACGTGAGCAGCGGCCAACAACAGATGCTAAACAGCAACGCCTTATACGGCCTGCTTGATGGCCAAATGAGCAACAACAGCAACACGATGGCCAGCACAACGAACTATCAAAACAATTTTGATACCTAAAACAGCATTACATTATGCTATTGGCTTAGTTCGGAACAGTTAGGATCAGATGAGTGCCATACAGCATGGTTGCAGCATGAAAGTTCCACTAGCATCCTTTATAATTAGCCTCAAAGTGCCGAAATTTAAATGCCCTATATATATATATTTCTACACTCAATGTTTTCTTAGATAGAAAAATACTTAAATAACATGTCCAATCGATTTTGGTATATGTAAATGTTTGAATTGAATTTAGTTAGAATCTTTTTAAATGGAAATAATTAGCTTGTAATACAGCTTAATAGCCGTACATAATTAAATATATATTTATATATATCTAGAGAGATTTTCTAAACTGAGAAATAATATGTAGTAGAAATCCCTATATAATAATCAAGAGAGTTGTGAAATGATAAGCAAAGGAAACTCAGGAATATGAAATGTTAACAAATAAACAATAAAATACATGAGTTTTAAAAGATCATGTATGGCGAGTTTTTAGTTCTTAGCAATTTTAATAACTAATTGCTTTAAATTGTATTAGAATCGTGAAAATAGATTTATTATTTTATCTAAGCTGTTCCATTTTATGTTGAAATATGGAATCACAATCATGGCTCATTGGAGCGCTGCAGCAGGAGGTACATCTAGTATTCTTAATAAAAACTAAACAGTAATTAACAATTTTATAAGAACTAAGCTTTTTTCTGTTTATTGCGGAATCTTTGGCCAATCTTTGTTTCATTCCAGTTGTTCTTGCGACGCTGTTTGGTGAACTCGTTTGTGGGCTCAATCGCCTGCAACTTGTGGCCAAGCGCATCAGTAGCTCTGTACTCAAAGAATTTATCTTTGCGTGGCTTGCGTGGCACCCAGCTTTGCATATCCCGACCGCTAAGTATTGAGTCGCCATCGACGGCGATGGCAGCAAGAGTGGCGTCTGTTTTTGCTTGCACTTTGTCGTCCTCCAGCTGCCGCCTCTTTATAGTGGGCCTCTTCTGTGGACCCGCTTTCGGCTCAATGTCATCAACGACATAGCAATCGGCATTGGAAAGCAGTTTGACCTGACTGAACCAAGCGTTCTCCTTCTCCGCCTTCAGCGATCCGTTGGTTGGCTGATCACTGATCACTTCGCAGTATTCAACTTGATTTTGTATAATCGCGGTCAGTTTGCCCCACAGATGTGTTTGCATTTCCTTACTGATTTGCAGATCACTAGCGGGAGCTGCATCTTGATCTGCCAGGTAACGCTCGCTTTTGGGCAAAGCTTGTGGTGCAGACGCTTCAGGAGAACTTGCTGTAGTTAGTTCCTTCTTATACATATCATTTCTGAGCAGTGTGTGATCAGTGGCCTCCGCAAACAAACGTAGTTTTGCATAGTCCTCATCGTCTGAATCCGATTCAATTGTGTTTTTACTGCCATTCCGTAGGTGGGACATATTTTGTTTAGGAAGCCGGTACAAAATTTGTTCTACAAACTCTGTTTGTTTACATGCTTTGTCTATCGATAGTCGATAACTAGATGCACGTGCCGAGCGATGTGAGATGGATGTAAAACACTGTACAGCACTGGTTAGCGACATGAGCTAGCGTCATAACGGTTTATTGTGACCGGCAATTGATGTAGTTACATTAAATATAATATTCATAAGGTTTATGTACATATACATATATTGTTTATTACGCCACCGAACTACACAGCCCGCAATTGCTAACGGGACACATTTTCATTTCGACATCTTCGCCAACACGCAAAACAGCTGCCATGCCGTTCTCCGAGTGCGGTGAGATGTGACAATGGAATATCCAATAGCCTGGACTGTCCGTGTTGAAGTGGATGATGGTATAGCCGAAGGCTGGCACCTGCACCGAATCCTTCAGCGGAGCGCCACGGCCGCGACGTGGCAACGGTGTACGCCGGTCGATCTCCTCTATCTGGCCAATGCGCTGCTCACCGAGCACACCCATGCCGACCACCCGGAATGTGTAGCCGTGCAGATGAATGGGATGTGCCGTACTTGATTTGCTCGAAATGACAAACTCCACATTCTTGTTGGCCGGCACTTGGATAACATTGGAGCACTTGCAATGCCGACTCTTGCAATTGAAGCCAAGCGCCGCCTGCTGCGAGCTATTGCAGAAGAACTGCCCAATGCCCAGGTTGCGCGTCTGCAGCAGCGACATCTTCGGCATGGTGAACGTGATGTCGTCCATCTGGAAGCGGAAGCCCTCGCCGCGCAGCTCAAACGCATTCATGCTGGTGTAATAGGTGAGCGCTGGACTGAGTGCTGGCTGCACATGCCGGGCATTTAGGGTAACCAGGGATATGCTCTGCGCACTATTGCCGCCCGCATCGTCGCCCAGCTCATTGAGCATGATGCCCGGCGCATCGTAGGCATAGCTCAGTGTGCTTGTGTCCAGGGCTTGTGTATTGGCGTTCTGGTAGTGCAGCACCGCCTCCTGATGCAACTGGTTCATGGCACAGAAGCTATAGCCCTTGACCCGTATCCAATAATTCGCTATTTCCTGATTGGCGTGCAGGACAAAATCAAAACGTTCCGCTCCATGGAACATAATCTTCTGCACCTCGACGGGCTCAATGTCGTTGCCATCGCTCGCAATCACCACCAAATCGTGATTGTCGATGGACAGGCTAACCGGGCAGTTGGATACGCCTGCAAAGCGTTAATAATTAATATTTAGACAACTACTACTAGGGCTACTCAACCACTTACCATTGAAAATGACACGGAAACGATAGCGACCGCCACGAATAACTCCAAACGTGGCATAGAGCGTGGGCTTCACCTTGCTGTTCTTCTTCATGTTGCGTCCGCGTCCATTGATGAGGATGTTCTCGGCGACGCTCTCGTCGAAGTTGTGCACCCAGTCCTGTATCATGATCACATGCTCGGACTGATCGAAGTCATAGAGGTGGGCATGGGGATTCAGCTTGGGCGGCAGCCGCACAATCAACGGACCGGCAAGCCCAAAGGCGCGCTGGTGCTCGGTGTGGCTGTGCCACCAATTGGTGCCGCCATGGTCCACCTCGAAGCGATAGCGAAACGCCTGGCCCGCCTCAATGGGGTACTGCGTGACGTGGGGCACGCCGTCCATGTGCGGCGTGGAGCGCTGATGGATGCCATGCCAATGTATGGTCGTCGTCTCGTGCATGCTGTTGATGACGTCCGCCACGATGGTGTCGCCGTAGCATACTTCAATGGAACTGCCCGGCAACTGGCCATTGACCACCATGATCTGGGATTCAAGGCCGTCGGCGTATTTGCAATCATCGTTGTGCGGCTCCAACTCCGCCAGCTTAAAGCTATCGATATAGTCCTTGCCATTCAGCTTGAAGCGGTACTTGGATTGGAGATAGCGCTTGCATGAATCGGCCATTGTGTCATCGTAGTGCACCACCATATAGTAATAGCAGGTCATGGGCTGTTGCTCGACGCATTCGCGCTTGCACGGATGCTTCTGATCCTTGTCTGCGTAACGCCATTGTGATGATTCGCCGGACGAGAGCTGTGGATAGAGCTGCTTGATGCGCTCATAATTGCTGACAATACGCTTGCCATCGGCATCTGTAAATAAAGGGTCGACAGTAATCGATCGGCGTTCAATTTGAAAATATCCTCAATCACCTTGAATGCCATCGATTTGCACGATAATCAGGCTACTTATCAACACGATTGTTTTGACTAAACTAATTTGCATAATGTGTGAAGAAAAACAAAAAAACAAACAAAAAATAGGAAAAATATTTATAGCGCTGTGTTACTGAAAATATCCTGCGGCAATAGCAGCAAATGCCAAAACATAACTGTTGATTAATTTCCGCCATCAGTTACCTTTTGTAAGAGGTAGCAAAATCAACATTGTGCGATATTCAAGAAATTACTTAGAATTCGCTTGTCGCAGCCTTGTCATACAGCTCGTAATGCTTAATTGAAGATCGTTCACATTGTCAGCTGATACAGATAGAGATTCGATAGAGTGCAGACAAAATTCTAATTTCGCTGTCTTGGCTCTTGGCTGTCTACATGACTAAGCGCACCCCTAACAGACGCTTCAATGTCACGGGTAAAACCCATTCAACATTCTTGTGTTCGTATGTACATATATAGTATGTGCAGTTCTGTTTGTTTCCTTGGCCCATTTATTGAGCAAAATTTGAAATTTAGCCTTGGACAATTTGCATGCCATGTTCTAGATCAATTCATTTGAATTCGAATTTAAATTTGAGCTCTGCGCGCAATGTTGTGCAATGAACGATCAACGTGCTGACCAGTGTTGTAAGCAAAGCTTATTAGTTTTGAATAATTGCGAGCAGATACTATTGATATTTGTATGCAGATATGGATAATTGTGGACCCACCTCCAAGTAAGCATTGTTTATATATTCATCTTTATCTATTGATTGGCAGCCGTGTGGTAAAAACAACGTTTATTTGTATGCCAGAGATTGCAACTGCTCAGTTTACGGATGCTAATCAAAATGTCTAACGTGCTCGTCAACACACACACGCAATGGCATACGTATGTATGTATATACGTTCATACATATGTACATATGTATGTCTGCAAGTACATTCATATATGTATGTGGGGGTATGCAATGCAAACACTCCCAGTCCCTAGAACATTGTACTGAATTAAAATTTACGAGTGCTTGCACTTGGGGCAGCGGGCCAACAAGATTCTTGATTATGCAGAAAATAAAGTAAAATCGCAGGAAAAAAGAAATTAAAAGAAAAGTGTGACAAACCACACACACACACACACGCATACAGCACACAAAACGCACAATACAAAATAAAACGAAACAAGCTAAACGCTCCAGCAGCGAATATTGCGTCCAATTTGTTGATTGCCATTGGCGCCTGCATGAACTTCATTAAGCAATTTGCACTGCAGGCGAGTGGACGCATCGCAGCGCCTCCCAGTGGACAAAAATTGTGGGCGACTCAACAACAGCAACAGGGTAAGCTAATTGCGGGGGGTGGCAACGCCGGCAACAGTAACCGTAGTTCGTTAATTGCAATTGCTTGTATTTCACAACATTGGCCGTGCTGCCAATAGTAGTTATCAAGTCTTCAACCCATTCGGGCAACGGTAAACATATGGCTAGCTTGGATAATTCTGTGCACTCGGCGGGCATCGAGGAGGTGCATAATGTGCCCATGAGCGTCATCAAACGGCCGATACCTTCGGTCCTGGACGAGATGAAAGTTCAATCACTTATGGCCACAATCGATGTGCGTATGATACAGCAGCAGTAGAAGAAGAAGAAAGCAGTAAAAATTTCACTTTTGCAGGCGGAAACTGACGCCGATAAAGTGCCACCGGTTGACATCTTATGGATTACCGGTAGCGAAGGCGGCAACTATTACTTTAGCTTTGGCGGCTGCCATCGTTTCGAGGCCCACAAGCGACTTAATCGGGAAACCATAAAAGCAAAACTAGTCCGATCCACATTAGGTGATCTCTATCACTACATGGGCTCCAGTGCGCCAAAATATTTGGCATAGTTTCAATAGTAGTTATTTTTGTTTTGTTTTTTTTTTTTTACTTTTGTTATTTGTTGCTAAAATGTTAAAAATCGTGTATATTTCATTATTATATAGATTTGTTTTTTCTTTAACCAAAAAAAGAAGAATGTCAATTTTCTTATTTTTATTCTAACTGCCGTTCAGTGCTGTAAGCTGCGCCTAAGAAATCGATAACATTCATTCATCTTGCTAAAGCGAGCGCAATGTCCTTTGATACCTTCGTGCAGCCGCTTATCGTTATCTCTTATTTGCTGGAACGGCCATGGACAAGTCCAGTTAGTAATTAAGTACATATTTCATGCTGGCCAATCGAACAAAGAGGAATGATGGCATGCAACAAATGATGTTTTTTTTTTATGATTTATAAATATTTTATTTTAATTTACTATACATATTCGATATAGAAAATAATCAATTTGTTAATAGCTACAATGTGAATCTGCTATGCGAGTACTCCAATCAGATACTGGGACTCATTCATACTTGTCAATCAAGCCAATTGCCAAGTGGATAAAAAGCTCTTGCTGGACTGTTTCATCGCTTTGCTTACAATTTTTGGAGCATGGTTCGAAACAATGGACGCTTAAAAAAAATCGTAAAATTTTTTAAATGCATAAATACATAATTTGAATTAACTATACACGTTTGATATAAAAAACACGGTCGATTGCTTCTCAATTCGTAACTCTACCAGAGAAAGGGCGACCTTTCGCGCAGGATGCGCAGGCCGTAGCGCTGCCATTCCAACTGGGTGATCCAGAGCTCGCGTGCGCTTTCCAGCACCGACATGATGGCGGCACCCTTCCAAGCGACCATGCCCACGTCCATGCCCTTGCTGAAGACGTTGACCTCGAGCCCGGGCGGAACCTGCTGGCTGATGCGCTGCTCCAGCCAGGCGGCCAGTCCGCGCATCTTGGCGCTGCTTCCCACCAGCAGGATGGCACCGAACATCTTGCGACGTGTCTCATAGCTGCCACAGCGACCAATCGAGCGGATCACCGCCTGGTCTAGGGACACTACCTGGCCGCCTGCATTGAAGTACCAGGAGTTGCTTGACTTGGGATGCTGCTGCTGGACCGACTGTTGCTGCTGAAGCGTCTGCTGCTGCTGCTGCTGTTGCTGCGAATTACTATTGCTGCTGACCGTCGTCTCGTCCTGGTCGACTACAATCAACTCCTCGTCGTCGGCAGTGATTGGCAGCTGTGGCGGCTTACCCGAGTTGTATATGGACACGGAAGAGTTGCCCATGATGCTAACGTCTCCGGCACGCACACCGTTGCGTCGTCCCGTCTCGCGCAGGTACTCGGCGTCGCAACAATCCTCGCAGTCGTACTGCTCCTGCGCCGATTGCTGGGTGTGCACAGCCCGCGTCTTGCCCGTTATGTTCAACAGCTCAGTGTGGAAGAGCGCCAGGGGAGCCATGATTGCTTCGTCGCCCACTTGGATGGTGTAGCGCACCCATTGGCCGTCTGGCTGGCGCAGCGTGAAGTGCTTCTCCTGGGCGCCGCAGACGTTGGCATTCAGATGACAGAATCGCTCCTTCAGCTCGTCCAGCAGTTGGGCGTCCACGTAGCTTTCCTCCACGCAGCACTCGCGATAGGGGAACCCGCACTTGCGCAACAGCATGAGCAGCACCTGGTCGATGTCGCCACCGCCGTAGTCGAGGCGGACGCGTGCATCAAGCTGGGAGATGCCATCCTCGATGCAGGCAATGGAGGTCTTTTGGGCGCCAATGTCCACCACACAGCCGTAGCCGATGCCCGCGCCATATGTGGCCGCCACACTGTCCTGAACGAGGAAACACCGCTGGAAGCCCATCCGCTGCAGCAGCAGCGTCATTGCTTCGCGCAGATGCCTTCGCACATAGACGTCGTTGACGACGAGCACGGCGCTGTGCGTGCACAGGTCTCGCAGTGATATTCCCAGGCATTGTTCCAGCGCGTACGACCAAATGTGCTCCAGGTGGGACAACGTAGCCTGCAGGGAGCCGCCCTTTCCGCCATGCACGTTCAACTCGCCGCGCTGGATGGGAAAGTGAATGTCGTAATTCTCGGCATCGCTGGCGGTCAGGCGGAGTATCTGCTCATCGAAGATTACTGGCGCTTCGCTGTGCCAGTTCACGTGGTCCTCGAGCGGCACAGGAGGCGGTACGGGCTCCGCGACGCTGCTGCGATTAAAGTGCGCCAGCTGCTGTGGCGGCGTGGCGACACGCAAACGGTTTGCCTCATCGACCACGCAGTGCTGCAACAAGCGGGAGACGGCCAGCCGCTGCTCCTCAAACTCCGCCTGAAGCTTGGTGGGATTGAGACTGTCCAGCGACGGCAGCAATGGATCGTGATGCGGTGCAACTCCGTCCTGAGGTACTCGTCTGTAGGCTACCGCATGCAGAATGGTCAGCGGATTGAGGTCGGCAGCGCGTCCAATGCGCAAATGCTGAGACCCCGGATGTATAACAATTATCTTTGGCGCCTCCAACGGCTGGTTAGTTGGTGGCTGTATTTGCGTCGCACGTCCGCTGCTTGTGCTGCTCGCCCGCGAACGTCTGCGGCGATTAAAGATTTTTGATTTATTTGTTAGGCTTTTCAGCAATATAGCTGGCGCGGCATACTTACTGCATTATAGCTTATGAAGGGCTGGTAAATCGGCTGCGGTAGCCGGTGCAAATATTTCAATGCTTGCATGGTGCCCACTCTTATCGAATCGCATTGCAACTGTGCGCATGAAGGAATGCACAGTTCTCAATTCCCGCGTTATGTTATCGCATATCGATCGAGTTAGCGATAACAAAACATCAAAACAAAATGCAAATTCAATCCTACTTATATATGACCAATGCTCCATTGAATGTAGCTTAAAAACAACAATAGATAACTCACAAATAGAAAGTATTTAATATGTTCTATTGGACAATACCAGCCAGAAATTCAGTGAGAACGTCGTGGAGAATCATAGCACGCAGCTTTAGCTCGCGAGTACTACAGGGTGTATCGTTGGCCGCCGCACTTATCATAAACTATCGTCTATCGCTTATCGTCTATCGTTAACTAAAGAACGTGTCGAGACTTTTGTTGTTTTCTCAATCATTCATTCATTGCGAAATTCCAAAATCAGATAGGTCAACCTGAACAAAAATATACAAAAAACAAAAAAAAGAACGCAGCAATGTCACATTTCACATGCATCAATTGCGATGCGCGCTTCGCCAACGCAGACATACAGAGGGAGCACTACAAAACAGATTGGCACCGTTACAATCTGAAGAGGCGCGTGGCTCAATTGCCGCCCGTCACTGCGGAAGAGTTCCAGCAGCGTGTGCTAAGTGCCCGGAGTGCGACGGAGTCGGCTATCGAGGAGCAGCAGATGAGCATCTATTGCACCGCCTGTCGCAAACAGTTCGGCAACCAGAAGGCGCATGACAATCACCTTAACAGCAAGAGGCACAAGGAGGCGCTGGTGCGATTAGAGCGGCAGCAGGCAGACTCGGACAGCGTATCAGATGTGTGTGTCAAGAGCATTGTGGAGCCGCGTCCGCACCCGGCGTTGGCGGCAGCCGCTGCGGGCAAAGGACGCCTTGCATTCGCGGAACGGGCAATGCAGGTGGATGCGGACGAGGATGATGACGACGACTTTGAGGACATCGAAGAGGAGGAGGTAGGTGTCAGCTATGAGTTAAACTAAAAGCCATTAAACTTCAATTGCTATTTTCAGGTCGATTCGGATGAATGGGATAAAATAGCCGAGAATCCGCTGACCGAGCGCGACTGCCTCTTCTGTAACCACCAGAGCGAGGACCTGGTGGAGAACCTGAAACACATGTCGTTGGCACATTCATTTTTCATTCCCGACACCGAATACTGCACAGACATCGAGGGCCTGCTTTACTATCTGGGCGAGAAGGTGGCCAACTACTTCATTTGCCTGTGGTGCAACGATCGTGGCAAAACCTTCTATTCCCTGGATGCTGTCCGCAAGCACATGATCGACAAGGGCCACTGCCAGATGCTGCACGAAGGAGTCGCCTTGGCCGAGTATGCCGAATATTATGACTACAGCGCAAGTTATCCAGATCATGTAAGTATCGAGCCAAATCGATATCGTACGTTCAGCTCAACACTATCGATATAAAAAAAACGGCTCTTCCATCGTATTTGAAACTGGGGCTATTCTAATTGGATCCTCCTCATTTTTGTTTCTTGCAGAAAGAGGGCATGGACATTGACGAAGAGGTTGTACCCGATCTACTCGACGGCGATGAATATCAATTGGTTTTGCCCTCTGGCGCCGTTATCGGCCATCGGTCGTTGCTCCGCTACTACAAGCAGCGCCTGCATCCGACTCGTACAGTTGCCATCAAGAAATCGGATCGTAAGCTGCATCGCGTGCTGAGCGAGTATCGAGCACTCGGTTGGACCCAGACACAGCAACAGGCAGCGGCGCGTAAGGCGCGCGACATTCATCTAATGAAGCGCGTGCAGTCCAAGTGGCAGATGCAGCTGGGCACCAAGGCCAATAAGCTGCAGAAGCACTATCGCGCCCAGGTGCTAATCTAGGAACGCATAAATGAAGTACAATTTGTGTGGCATAGAATATTTTCTTTTGTTGTTCACGCTTCTCAAGCAAAATTGGTTTTCATTTGAAAATTACTGCGCAATTGGTCTTCAAATAAAATTACATAATTTAAATTAAAAATTAAATAAAATTTACTTTTGATTTTGTATAAGTAAAATTATTTCGTTATGGTTACATTAAATTTATGCATTTAAAACTAGGTAAAAAAAAAAAAACGTTCTAATTAATCAGAACTCTCTTGCTAACTGTAAACGCGATGAGCAATGCGTGTTTGCGTGCGTGTGTGTGGGTGTGCGTGTATGAGCGAAACGCTTGCACGGTGAAAGCATGACTTAAATAAACCGATGCGTGTGTGTGTGTGTGTGAGTGTTTGTGTAAATTTCTGCTAGCTTTGATGTGTATGTGTGTTTGGATGGAGGTGCAATAAATAGCAGTGTCCGCTGGCGAGCTAAGAGAACGGAAACAGGCGCGCACACACAAAGGAGAGAGAGAAAGAGAAGCACAACAGCTGGCTGCTCAGACTTTTGTGTGTGTGTGTGTGGTGTAAAAAAAAAAAACGTACAGTAATTAAAATGAAACATTTTAAAGTATAGTATATATAGACGGCAGGTAACGCTAATGTATAACTACAGGATTCTGTTGAACACATACGCCCACCATGGGCGACGACGAAGAGGCATCGCTGCTGGCACCGGCTGTAGAGCTGACGCTGCCGCTGCCACCACCGCTGGACGTTGCTGCCGGCGCTGGCAGCGCAGCCAACGATGATGATGTCGACGCAGAAGCTGGCATCTGCATGGGCAGCGGCAGCGGAGCTAACGGCTGCGGATGATAGAGTAGTACCCCGTATGAGGCTGGCCCGGAGCCAGCTGGAGGTCCACCAGCAGCAGAGGCGCTGATAACGCTCGAATCGGTCATCATCAGATGCGAGGCAGCGGCGGACATGTTGCCATAATGATGCATCAGGTCGAGCGGCAGGGACGCTGGCGCATAGCTGTGATGCGGCTGCGGCTGTGTCGGCAGTTGCATTTGTTGATGTGCGGCGGGTGGTGGCAGCGGCGGCAGAAGCAACGACGTCGGCTGTGGTGGCGGTTGTACTACATTGCCGTTATGCTTAATGCTGCTGAAATTCTGGTGTGGCGCGATGCCGACGCCGCTGTTGCGCATGCGCCCAAATGGCGTCTGCCCGAGACGCAGCGCTGCCGCTGCCATAGTCGCGGCCGAGACGGGCGGCAGCGGTGGCGGCGGCATCTGTTGTTGCCCCAGCGGCGGATCACAGTCCATGGCGTGCGGATAGCTGTTGCCCATATAAATATTGCGGCGACCGCTGCTGACGCCGACGCCGCTGCTGCTGCTATGATTTAAGCTACTCAGACTGTTATTATTGTTTATGTTAATGTTGTTATTGCTGCTGCTGTTAAGGCTGTTGAGGCTGCTGCTGCTGTTCGCTGTTGTCGCTGACTGCGGCTGCAGACTGAGCGCCGAAAAGTTCATCGCAGTGGCATTGCTGTTGTTGTTGCTGCTGTTACTACTGCTGCTGCAACTGTTGTTGTTCGCATGGTGCAATAGCAGACCTGTAAGAGCAAAAGTTCAATTATGTAAAAATTGTCAATAAATGTTAGGCCAAAAATGTTAGTGTTGCCATATTGCCAAAGTTATCGCTTAGCTTTTTTTTGTTGATTATATCATAAATTTTTATTGAAGGGTTTTTTCGCTTTTTTTTTGTCATTTTTGTTGTTTGCTTTTAGTTTTCATTTTAAATTGTTTTTCTTGGGTTCTTTTCTCTTTTTAACTTATTTAGTAATCATCCATAAATTATTTCATACTCATTAAACTTAAACCATCAGCTTTACGTTATATATATATATATATATATATGTATGTATATATATAAATGCCACAAATGCGTGAGAGTGTATGTGTATGTATGTGTATGTGTGTTTGTTTTTCTCTTGATTAAATTGTTAAACTAAATGCTTTACATTTTCAACCAGTTTCTCTTGTTTTTCTTCTACTTCGTATTTCATCTTTTTTTTTCTCATTTTCATTTTGCAATACTGTTTCGTTAAGTGTAGTTGTTATTGCATTGCTCTTCGTCGCCATTTTGCGAGCAGCCATTTGCTAGTTAACATTGGGCTTTAATCAAAATGTTACTGCATATCTTGAAGCGTTTTCACTGATCGCATTTGCATTTGCGCATTCATTTTTATTTATTTTATTTTTATTTTTTGGTTATTGTTAAATTTTGTTTGCATGTTTTCTAAATATGTTTTTTTCTTTTACTTTTTGGGTTTCTTTTCGTGGCCTAAATCTAAATGCTTGCAATGAATTTTCATTTAAATTTTATGATTTCGTCTTTAGCTTTTCTTTTCTCTATGCAATTTTTCATTCATTTCTCAACTCAAGTATGTATATGAGTGTGTGTATGTGTATGTGTATGTGTGTGTGTGTGTGTGTGTGTGTCTGTATGTGTGTATGTATGTATATGTGTGTCTATTGTAATTGTAACTTAAATTTAAAACACTCTATCGGCCTTTGCTTTAAATATTTTACACAACTTTTTAGTTTTTTTTCCTTCTTTCAGTTTTATTTATTAATTATTTGTTAAATTCTTGAATTGTTGTTTACTCGGGTGCTAAACGCTAAATTGTTGAATTATACAAACACATATACAATACATATGCAACTCACATCTCTGTCTCTGCCGCTGTCTATCTCTCTCCCTCTTTCTCACTATCATTCTATTGATTTCCTCTTTTAAAGTTCGTTTTCGATTTCAATTACTTCCTTTATGTATATATGTTTACACAAATATCTGTATAAATGTGTATACGTGTGTGTGTGTATGTGTGGGTGTTAGTGTATTTGTTAAATGCTAAAGTTGGTTTAATCTTGGTTTGCTTTAGTACTAATTTATGTTTCTGTTTTATGCAATGCTATCGATTTGTTCGTATTTCCATTTAAATTATTAATATATTTTATAATTATTAATATTATGCCTAACGTTAATTATTTCGTTTGCTTTGTTTTATTTTTTTTTATTATTTCTTTTTTGCTATTTTTACACACCTAAAAACTATGATTTGTGTTTAGATTTTGGTATTTTCTGTATGATTTTTCTTATATTTTATTTTCTATTTATTTTTTGGTACAAAAAAAATGTTTTTTCAAGAATGTTTTACTGTCATGCGACAAAGCTTCTGTTAAACTGCGCAGATTGGCTGATCCGTTATTTAACATTAACTGATCTTTTATTTAACATTGCTTTAACCATTGTATTGAAGCACGATTAGCTTTGTTTACGTATGCAATGAACGTGTGTGTGTTTGGGTATGCGTACGTGTCTTTGCGTGTGTGTAGGAGAGCGCTGCACTAGTTTGTTTACTCCATAGTTACATTTAATGTCATTAACATGTCGATCGCAGCAGACGAAAGAGAGAGAGAGAGAGCGAACACGCTCTCCTTGCTGCTTCAACTCATTTGCCATTGCGAACGACATTGAAGGATGAAACCACTCGATTCTGCGACAACAGAAGAGAGAAGTGAACAAAAGCGAGTGCGCTGCGCAATACTTTGTAATTAGGTTCAATTTGTGTCATTGAGCGAAATATCAATATCGGGTTGAAAATTTTCAAGAAATTCTCTTCAATGCCATTGCATATAAATTTCGTTTACACTGTGTACAGGGATTCGCAGAGTGTAGTGGCCTAACAGAACGAAGGTGTGTGTGTAAGTGTATATGTGTGTGTATTTTGTGGTTGTGCGGAGTGAAGTGAAAAGCGTAAACAACCAAAAGAGTAGGCAAACAAGACGACAGTTGACAGTGTCTCTGTATGTGTGAGTGAGTCTCTGTATGTGTGTGTGTATGCTTTACTGTTAAGTCTTGTTTCTTAATGCTTTGGGTTTCCTTTGAATGTTAAATGTTATTAGCGGCTATGCGCTGTTGATTCAATACCCACAGACACATACACATAAATGTATTATTTAGCCATGTACACACTTCTATATATGCATTTACTGTTCTGTATGTATGGCTGAACGCTGTTAATATGCAAATGTTAATGTACTGTTTAACTTATAATTTTATTACATATATTATCATATATATTTATTTTTCGTATATATAGTTATGTTTATATACATATATATATGTATGTGTACATATACATATTTATGTATGGCAGTCATTAAGAAAGTCGTTAAGGATTCCTTGTTTTATGTGTTGCTTAAATGTTTAACAGTTTTTACTTTTAAATTTTTGTTTTATTTTTATTAGGTTTATTTTTTTTTTCTCTTTTGTCTTAGTTTACAATACTAGGGGCCTAATTGCTTATAAATAAATGCTTAACTGTTAGCGACAATTATTTAAAAAAAAAAGTCACGCAAAACTAAACGAAACAAGTTAAAAAAAAAAATAGTCAATTTTATTACTATTTTCTTTTTTTTTTTTTTCTTTTCATTTCCATTTCTTTTATTCTTTGGAGCGTGTCTAAATTTACGTCGTTTATATTTATGTATACTAGGTGCGAAAAAAATATATAGATATATCCATATATATATATTATATTATTTAATATATATATATACATATATAATCACATACACATATATATGTAAATATTTATTTGGAAAAAAAAAATAAGTTTACTTAATGCGCCACACATTAGGAAAATAGCGTGTATTTTGGGTGGAGCTGGAGCCTCTGGCTATTTACAATAAGAGATGGCCTTAGCCTTACATAACGTGCGCAATGGAAACGCTTTCGTTCAAACTGAACGAAATATCATATATGGCATCGAATAACAGTTTCGGTTTATTCCCTGTTATTGTTTTTGTTGCTTAACTAGCTGCTTCCATTGCGCTGACGCCGCTGCTGCTACTGCACTGTCGTCGTCGTCGTCGTCGTCGTCGCTGCTGCTGCGCTGTCTCCTTCGCTGTCCATTTTCACTGTTATCCTGAGTACTTTATAACTAATTTGCGTTTGTTTTTGTTGTTACGGCTGACGTTGCTCCCGGTATTGCAACTGTTGTTGTTGTTGCTGGTCATCGGCGCTCGTCTGCTTCGTTGTTTTTGTTATTTTTGTAACATGCACGCGCAAAGTGATTTTTTTTTTGTGTGGGCATTTTTTAGTGTAATTTTAGTGAAATTTTTTTTCAGATTTTTTTTTTTTTTTTTTTTTTTTTGTGTATATTAGAAAAAGAGAGCATAATAATTGTAGGCAAAAATTAGTTGCGTTTCTTTTTTATCTTCCGCTTGCTTATGCCTTGTAAGTAGAAATGAATACAAATATAAAATTATATATAATAAAAAAAAATTATATGAATGAATAAACAAACAAAAAAAATATCTACGTTTGACAACACTGTTTGTGGGAGAAGGTGCTACCGTTAAGAAAATGAAAGAACACTTACAATTTATATATAATAATTATATATGCTTAATAATATGTATAAATGCAACTAAATCTTTTCTTTTTATCAGATAGTAACAGAAATCATAATTGTTATATATATGTATATAATATAATATAATATATAATATATTATATATGTATATATAAATATAATACTTAATTTTAACATTTTTTTTTTTAGCTATAATTCAATTTTTAATTTTGTTGTTGTCCTTATTTAACAGATTGGTTTACTTTTTTTTTTGTTGTAAAACAAAACTTATTTCAATTTGTTCAGATCGAATTATTTCTTTTACGCACACACACTCACACACACACACGCACTCTCTCACATGTACATATATTTACAGGCATGCAGCAAATTAATCGAACAACATAAAATCTAAACAGTACAAAATATATACTAAATACTAAAATAAATACTGTACGTTTTACAAATTTTATACTATTTATTATTATAATTAAAAAAAAAAAAATTAAATAAATAAATGATACGAAAACATTTTAGATTTCTATAGCTTCGTAAATTGAATTGAACTTAAAATGAATATCTAATAAATAAAAAAAAATATATCGAGTCATACTTAAATAGTTATCGTTATCGATCAACAAAACTGTTTTAACAATGGCAAATGTTATAAAACACTCAACAAATTCAATAACTCAATAGTTATCGATGAGCATCGATCAATTCATTGCTATCGATAACAAATTGCATAAACATTTGCTTTGAACTAACTCCAATTTGATCAATTATCGTTTCTTATCGATAAATAGCTCTATTTTTTCGATTTCGATATTTTCAAATAATAAGAAAGAGAGAAAGACAGAGAGAGAGAGGAGCACACAACAAATAAAAGCAACAAAAATTCGCTACAACACAAGAGGGTGGCAAAAAGGGGAGAGAGAGAGAGAGAGAGAGAGAGGGAGGGGGTCTGGATCAAGGGGAAACACTCAACACTTACCCAAACATTGGGGATCAATGGCGCCGCTGTTGCTGCTGGAGACGAGCGACTGCTGCTGCTGCTGGTTGGAGACGCCGCCGATGCTGTTGCTGCCACCCGACGATGAGGAGTTGACTGCTGCAATGGCTGCCGCAGCTGCCGCTGCGCTGGAGGAGACGACACTGCTGCTACTGCTGCTGCTAGCGTTCAGTCCGCTGCTAGTGCCGCTGGCACTACCACCAGCGCCGGGTCCTGCGCCGCCACTGCCAGCTGCAGTTAGGCTGCTGCCGCCACCACCACCACCACCGGCACCGCCGCCACCAGCGGACGAGCTGCCACCCGAGCCGCTGCCACCGGCGCCGGCATTCGCAGTGGCGCCTGCGCCGCTCGTATTGGTCGACTCGTCGGTGGTGCGCTTGAAGAAGTTGTGCTGCAAGGCGTAGTAGGGAGTGACTCGTGTCTTCGGATCAAAGTCGAGCATGCGCAATATCAGATCCTTGAACTTTAGATAGTCGGACACGGAATGTCCCGGCTCATCGAGACGCCTGCCAGCCGGCCCGCCTGTCTCCACGCCGAGTATGTCGTGTAGCTTGCGGGAACCGGGCGGCTTATACTTGCGCCCATTGAGTGTCTTCTTTAGCACGTAGGAGCCATCGGTGACAATTTTGTCGAAGAACTTGCGCGTCTTATGCGCCTGATCCAACAGATACTTGGGCGGCATGCCCAGCACCTCGACAATCTTGTTCATCTGATCGAACTCGTTGCATCCGGAGAAGAGCGGCTCTCCGGTATGCATCTCCACCAGAATGCAGCCGAGCGACCACATATCGATGGCCAAATCGTATTGAATGCCCAGCAGCACCTCCGGTGAGCGATAGAAGCGCGACTGGATGTATTGATAGATCTGCAAAGAAGATTAGAGAGAACAAATTTTAGAATCGTAATACCCTCTTCACTCCCAATTTTACTTATCAAAATACTTACGCGCTGTCCCAGCTGACAGGAGCTGCCAAAGTCAACAATTTTGATGGCCGATCGCTTGGGATTGCATAGCAATATGTTCTCGGGCTTCAGATCACAGTGTATTATGTTCAGTTCGGGTGTGCTCAGGAACAGAAGAGCCGTGCACAGTTGCTGCGCAAATTTGCGCGTGAGGTTCAGCGAAACGCCACGGAAATTCGTGTTCCTCAATAGATCGTATAGATTATACGATAGTAGCTCGAAGACGAGGCACAGATGATTGCGCCACATAAAATGGCGCTTGAGCTTGACTGTAGAGAGACAAAGGGATTATATTATAGATAGATTGATTATCCCAAATTGTCTGTCATTCACTTACCGATATAGTATTTGTTTTCAGCATCCGCACGATTCATCATCTCGAGCAGTTTGACTTCGATTTGTGCCTGATTTAGGAACGGTTTCTTATTCTTAATTATCTTGATTGCCACATGGCATTGCTCCTCATGATCGTAGGCCTTGACCACTTGACCAAAACTGCCTTTGCCTGCGATTAGTGAATACAGTATAAATATATATGTATAAATATAGTGAATAAGTTAGTCATTTAGCCATTTGTTTAGCTAGTCATACGTACCGATGAGTGAATCAATCTCGTAGCGATCCAGAAACTTTTCGCCATTCTTGATGATATAGTCGTGATTATCATCATCGTAACCATCATTGTATAATTTGCGCTCCTTTTTATTTGACGAGTCATCGTCGCCTTGTGTCTGCTGGGCTCGGCGCTTCTTCTTTGCGTAGTATACCTTCATGTTTGTATTATTGTAGGTGATGAGTTATTTCCAAAAGAAATTTGTTAGTTTTTTTTTTAAATATATATATGAGTTAGATATAATCTGTCTAGAGATCTGTGAGAGTGAGTAGGTCTGACTGATCATGTTTTGCCTTTAAGTTTTGACAAACATTTTAAGGCACACTTTTTGTTTTTAAATACATGCCTAACGGTAAGCGATAGCTTATCTATCGATAGCTGGCACTGTTAATTGACAGACGACAACTGCTATAACGCAGTTTTGAGCCAACAGTGGCTTCAATTATAAATTAAAATGTTAATAACAGAAAAACTCAATGTTGCGCACACTACTAACGCAGCTTTGAGCTGAGCTAACAGTGATTAAACCAAATGCCTCTCGATTGCTTTGCATTTAAATATGAATTATTATACAGGTGCAAAGGCATTTACCTAAGTATATATGATATATAAATTGCCCAAATTAATGTTTTTATTTGTTACACTGATTTGGTCAACATTATAGTAACAGTCCCCTCCCCATCTCCTCATCCCTTTCATGTCTAGCTGTGGTTACACGCTTACACCTCTTCTGCACCCCTCCATTAGCTCTTACACCCTCTTGCCCAATACTTTGCTATGCTCATTGGCTTGGCGAAAAATTTTGTATGCAGCTGGTTGCTTGGCGAAAAAAAAAAGTTGTTGCTAACGCCGCATGCGAGCGTCGGTGCGAGCGAGAGCGCTGCACGTGCAAACAAGTTAAACAGAGCGAGGGCGAGGGCCAGTCGCCAGTCGCGAGAGCGCTTTTTGCAGCGCGTTGTACGTTGGTGTAACCAGACGGCCAGACACAGCGAGAGAGAGTAGGGAGAGGATGAGAGTGGCGCTCGCGAAATTCAACAACGCCTAAAAGACGACTGCACACAATTGCTGCGGCTGTGCTGTTGCTGCTGGCCGAGCGTTGTAGAAATATACGTGTGGAGCAATATGTGTGAAACAATGCTCGAAAATGGGTGTATGCTGAAGACGACGACGCTGACGTCGACGTCGACTGCGACTGTGGCTGCTGCTGCTGCTACTGCTGTTCGCTACTTCGTGTCGTTGTCTGCTACTGTTGCCTGGCAATGACGTTTCTAGCTTGTCGGACCTAGCAGACGCAACGTCACAGTTAATCGCGCGCTGCCACGCTCTCTCTCACTCTCTGTCTTTTCCATTCTCTCTCTCTCAATGTGTGTGTGTGTGTGTGTGTGCTTCAGCATAGCATACAAAGCAGCGACGTCAACGTCAAAGCCAGCGCCGGCAACTGCATTTGAGCTGATAAGACAGCAGCAACAACGTAACAAGTAACGGTGCATATATTTAGGCGCTTTGGGTTTGGTTCTGCTGCTGCAGCAGCTGCTGCTTGTGCCACGGCTTCTGCTTCTGCTGCAGACGTCTGCCTTTGTCTCTCCCTGCCCGTGTATGTGTGTGTGTGTGCAACAATTTGCCAGCCAATTAATTGTAACTGCTGTTGGCTCTGGCTAATCAGATGATCGACATTTTTTTTTTTATCGCAACTTTCACTTTAGACAAACATCTTGAACACTCTTTCCGTGTATTCATTTAAGCAGTTTTGCATTTTCTTACAAATTTATCTTGTTTAATTTATGTGGCTTACAACAAGTGAAAAGCAATTCAAGAAACGCAGAGCCGTTAATCGCGCAACCATTTGCATTTTAACAGTAAAATGCGAGTAAGAGTGCACTGGACGGGAGTGCTTGACTAGGAGATACCTTAAAAACTACCTCAATTAAAAAAAAAACTATATATTATTTGCAGAGCATAATAATGCGAAAGAGCTTAGCATATTAACAGTAAGAGACTGCGTCTATGTAAGGGAGGCTGCAAACGGTTACTAACAGAAGATGGAGCGCTGTTATGTTAACTACAAGATCGAGCGAAGGACAGAGAGCGAGAGAGTAGTGAACTTTCTGTGTGTTTCTGTTACTATGCTGTTAATAACATGCTGTAGAGTGACAGTGGGTGGCATTTGGCAACATTTCAGTTGCGAATTATTGACGCCTTTTCATGTTAACCGGGTCAAGGACAGGCACGCGCTGATCGCTAGCCAAATAAATGTTTGCCAAAAGGAAGACAGAGCTAGAGAGAATGCTAGGGAATATTATGTGTGTATATATTGCTTACCTCATTGATGTGCTTGTAGGTCTTTATCAGATCGACGCTCAGCTTTCGCAATGGTGCACTGGCCGGATCTCGAAAATGCGGGGGTATGCGTGCCTGCATGGCGCGCACCTCCGACGAAGACGAAGGACTAGAGTGCTACAAAGAGATAAAACAAGAGGAACAGAGAGAGAGAGAGAGGGAGTGTTTAAGGAGAGCTCAACTTAGGAATTATTTGCTAATGGCACTCACATGATGCATAACATCACGATGCGTGGCAGGCAGTTCCTCTTCGACCACAAAGCGTCCGTAGAGCGGCGCATGGCGCTGTCTGCCGCCGCCACCGCCGCCGCCCCCGCCGCCGGTCCCGCTACCCTGCGATGTGTCCACGGCGCCGCCGCTGGAACCATATCCAGCGGATACTGTAAAAGAGAGAAACAAAAAACAATTAATTATGTATAGGTGTAAGAGAAGGAGAGAGAGAGAGGGGAGAGATATTGTGCGAGTTCATTGACCGATTGCATCTGGGCACAGGTGTTGCACCTGCCGCGCACACACCTGAGGCAGCTGCCAAAAGCCCAAAAAACCCGCCCAGAATACGTTTTCCCCCCATCTAAATTTAGTACTAGACAACAACAAAAATAAGAACCAAAAAGTCCCAATGAGAAATATTACACAATATGCACACAAAGATCTTTGAACAAATATATATATATAATATATATATATATGTATATGTATATATATATAGTTCTTTGCGTCTCTGTTTTGCTCCGAATCAAAAATAGCACAAAAAGGGTAGAGGTAGAACAGGGGTCGGGGCACAAGGGACGGTGCTGCAGATCAAGAGGGACGCACTGAAACTGATATTGCATTTCGCAATTGCCGACAAGTGAATAGACAGCAAAGAGGAGAGACCAAGAGCCAAGAAACAGCAAAGAGGCAACGAGGTTACGAGGGAAGAGGCAGCCAGAAGGAAGCAGGAGAGAACGCACATTCAAATATTATTCAATAACGCTTGATAAACTTACTATCAAAGTTTACCATGAACTTTACTATGTACTCGCTCGAGAAAGGAATTCGACCGATATTTGTACATACCGTACGTAAAGTTAGCTTTAAGGTAGGTCTGCCTCTATGATCTACTTAACGATCTACTAGGGCGTTACCTATTCTAAGGAGGCTGCCCTGCATTGCTTTAAAGCGAGTCTGTTTCGGTAGTTTAAGAAGCTTTCAGCAGTTCTAAGTAACTTTATGCTAAAAACAAAGTTTACATTTAAACTAACTGTAAGCTATTGTGTAATTGAATACCCTGAAAGCTTCTTGTGCACTTGAAACTTGAGAGAATTGTTTAAAGATCCAGAATCGATAAGTTATCGAAACTTGCCACAGGTGCATACCAAGTACATTTCAGGTGGATAAACGAACTTAATACATATACATATCTTCCACAATACATGCAAAGCCTGAGCGATAAGCTTATCGGGGTATGACGAACGGTTCATTGTATCCATGCACCATAATTCTTAGACTTAAGACTTGGTGCTTACAGCTATATTGCGCTGGCCGCTGTGACAAGAAATGATGCTGATGCCGGGACTGGGTCTGATGATGACTCGTATCATTGCTGCTGATGCTGATTGTTGCCCTGAATCGGGAACTGGGATTGGCGGCAAAGCTCTTGATCGTATGCTGGCAATCGATTTGGGCGAGATAATGCGGCGGCTGTGGCTGTTGTTGCTGCTGCAGCAGTTGATAGCCATTGCCATTTCCCCCATTGCTCCAGTTGCTCCACGATGGACGCCAGGCGGACGACGACGTGGCGGTGACACCAACGGCAACAGCTGGCGGCGCAGCTGTCATCGTTCCCGTCGAGCTGCCGATCAGGCCGGGCTCATGGCCATGAGCCATCGAGGCGTTCATTGACTGCCAGTAGACCAAAGCCGTTGACATCGCGCGACTGAGTCAACGTCCGGAAGAAGCCAGAGACCTCGTCTATATTAATGGCTATATAAATATTTCCTTCCTTGCGCTCGTTATACACGTTCACGCACCGAAAAAAAAGCGAGTATATTCCGTTATGTGTAATGTCTGTACGTTTGTCGGAAATTTGGTCTATAAACTTGTGAGAGCAACTCTGGTCCTTTCCATAGGCTTAGGTGTAGAGCTCCATATAAAGGAGAGTTGCGATATTACAGATCCCCCCTCGAATTCGTGGATTATCGAAAGAACTTTTTAATCAGTTCATTTCCTGAGCTCATGTGTCATAATCTTACGGAACGTCTCTAGATATAGAGATAGACTCACAGGTTCTATAGATATCTAAATGGATTCTTATGGCTGTTGGTAACGTGAGCGAGCATCAGACAGTCGGTAGCATCCGACTGCAATATTTCAACTTGTTTTTTGTGAATTTCTTTTCGCTTTTTTTTTTTTTTTTTTTGTTGTTGTTTGTTATTCGCTTTCTTTATCTTTCTTTCGTTCTATTCGCACATCGCACAAATATTTCACACGCTATGCAAAAGTTCTTTTATAGCGAGATTCACTTTTATATATATATGTATATACATACATATATATATATATTTCACTCAAACAAAAATGTAAAGATCTTCAATGTATGATTGATAGCATTTGTGCTCCATGAATTAAACAATTTGTTTTCATTTCTCGTTGGATTCTATGCGAAACTCATACTACACCGAGCTCTATATATATATATATCTATATAGACTATCTAGTATATATATATATTTATATAGTTATTTTTCGGCTTGCGACTACTCGCGCGATCTGCGTCGCGTGAGATTTCAACGCGAACTGCGTCAATGTTTTTTTACAGCTAGAAAAATCATGTCGAGCGCAGTCTTCGTCTTTAGCTTTTTTTTTTTTTGTTGGACGCACGTCTGTTTTATTTTTATGTCGAGACATTACGTTACGTTACATTACGTTACGTTTGCCGCTGCACATTTCTTGTTGCCTTCCCTTTGGCTGCTGTGCTGCCAAAAATTTGCCGTTGCTCTGCGCTCTCCTCTGATCGCCGATCCCCATCAAATGCATTTGATAATTTCGCCATTTCAACACGTTCTATTTCGATTGCTCTAAGTCGTAGAACGCCTGCAGCTTTGGCCGCTTGGCCAGAGTTGCCACCATTTCGCCTGTCATAGTTGATATTCATATGGACCAGAGTTGCCATCACTTGAACAAGTTTTCCGTTTGTGCACTTTAAAGTCAGAGTTGCCCCCTAAACCGAGATTTTATCGAATGATTTCAGCTTTAATACTTGAAAGCTTGAGAGCTTTAGAGTTGCCATCAATCAATCATTAGCGTTATTTTGGCAATATAGAAAATTGGATTTACGCATTGCCAATTATTAATTGACCAGAGCGGCTATCGGTCCAACTATTTTAGGGAATTCCAATAAAGTTTCTCAGATATTTAGATTTAGATTTTCACCTCTGTAAGTTTTTTTTTTAGAGCTGAGTTTTTACATCTATGTTCTCCACTCTGGCAAGCTTTCCAGCAGATTTTCCTTTTCGTAAGATCATTCAAGATTCTCATGTATGTTACGCATACAACTCTTTGCTCTCCGATAATTTTGAACTCTCTCTTTTGGATAACTCATCTTTTAATTTCAATTATCAGGTGAACGTGCAATTTCGAGAATATAGACAAAAAGCATATCTATCTATTTATGTGCTAGCCATGATGCATTAACACCCATACACCTCCCACACCGTCTTCCTACATTTTCTTTTGTTTTTGTCTCGATGAGGAAGTCAATAAGCAAACCAAAGCAAAGCAATCAAACAAGTGAAAACATTGCGCTCGGGAGCAATCGACTGCATAATACCCGTTCCCGGGTCAAAAACCGCTTCATTAAGCATTAATACTTTGGTATTTCCATGTAGGATAGGGAATTGAAATGATTTTAGGATCATAGCCGAGAGAGATATGGATCCTTTCTATAAATATACATAGACGGAAACTAGATGAACGATTGTACGAAAATTGTGCAATCATATCTTTTATTGCTCTGCTTGGAATAATTCCAGCTCAAGTTTGGGTTAGGGTAGATTCCAATGACCATCCCAGTATATTCCAGACTAGCCTCCTAGGAATTACTTGTCTTGGAAGAATTTATAGGACTCAACGCTACATTTGAGAAGATAGTAAGAACTTGGCTTAGATCACAAAAATAATTCTTCTGAATTCTAGTTTAATATCAACTAATTAAATCTAATTGGCCATTTGTTAAGTTTTGGAGTATGCGAACGGGACTCCCTTTCTAGTTTTCCTTATACATATATCGCATAGATATTTCCAACGTTAGACTTAGGGTATTCCAGCATCAGCGAAGCCTAAACTAAATTCCATTTCTTGTCTCGTTTATTATTAAATCAAAGTTGATCACTTGCCAATTTGTTGGGTTATGGAGCTAAATGGATGCTCCTCGTACGACCTACTGCTCCCTGGCATCTGCTCGATGATGACGATGATGATGATGCAGACGCTGCTGCTGCAAGTGTTTTGCTATTTATAGAAACGGTCGGGAGATTCACTGCGGTGATCCGTTTTCGTGCTTAGCTCTAGCGAAATGTGGTCTTCGTCGTCGCCGTCGTCGTCGTCGTCTTGGCCAATAATAGTCGCAACGACATTTTTCTCTTGACCAGGAGCATGGAGTAGGGGTACGTAGTGGAGGGGGAGCCGGCGATAGTTGAATGTATTTCACATCGATGCTAAATCCGGGCAATATTTGTTGTATGTGTATAAATATATTGCCCGGACGTTATCAACAAACGGACCTAGTGTAGAACCGCCCTCACTAGGGTCGCTGTTTGCCAAGTGAGTCATGAATGACCCATCAATGGGTGCAATTGTGTGACGCCTCCTATACCGTGCACCCATTGAAAGTGGCATTGAGTGCGGTATATTGCCTGCAAGACCATGCTTGTCACATGAGGGAAGGAATAGCGCATATCCATTCTATATAGTTGCTGCTTTAGCTCAGTACAGGTTAGCGTTTAGGCGAATACATTCGATGCTTACTCCAAAGCGTAATAAACACTTGACTTGCATTGAAGGGCAGACGCGAGGCGCCGTTGATAAAACGTTTTCGTGGAATCCAAATGCACTAAACAAATAGAGGGGAACTCCGGAAAGTCCAACAAGCGTAGCGCCTGCTACTTGCTAAATTGGCTCCTCCTCTCTCTCTCTCTCTCTCTCTCTCTCTCTCTCAATGAGCAAACAAAAGCTGCCTGATAAGTCATACACAACATACAACAACACAGCCACATACAGACGAGCACTTGTGCTATTTGTGAAGCGAGAAAGCAACAGGTGACAGCAGCTGCTTGCTATGACACGCGTGCGGTCTCAATACAGTGATCGCACTTTATCCCTGTTAAGTAGTTAACAGTGCACATTCTACTTACATTTCTGTTTGTTCTTATCCATAACAGCGCCGCTGTTAGTATCCTCCAATCTATACATCTGGATTTTCTTGTTGGTTTAATGCTTTTTATGCTGAATAATGATTATGATATATATATCTATATAGATATATATACCTAGATACAGTTATATATATATTCATACATATAATTATTATTCATATAAATATATTGCGTTTATTTGTTCATATATAATTTGCGTTTTGGTTGATCTTTTTTCTTATATTTGAAATTTACGTTTCATTTTTATTTCTTGTATAAATTAAATAAATTATTAACGTTGTTGCGGTAATTAATAAATTACTTCTCGTTGTTAATTTTGGTTACTGAATTTTTGTTGTTTTCTTTTTGTTCGTTTACCGTTATATATTTGTATATCGTGTGTGTATATATATAGTTTCTATATATATATATATTTTTTTTTTTTTTTTTAATTTTTTGGGCTGTTTTTTTTTATGTTGTATTCATATTTTAAATACTTGTTTTACACATACATACATATGTGTTACGTTAAATCTTGTGGATATATATACATATATATATATATTTCGTTTGTATTTATATAATTTGTATTTTAAAGTAATGAACACACTTTTTAAGTCTTTTGTTGGGGTTTTGCTTTTAATGTTATGTTGATGTTATGTGTATGTTAATGTTAATGCTTCTGCTGTTATGTGACTGCTGTTGTTATTGTAGCACACACAGACATAAATGTTTATTAACACAATTGTTAATGGTTGTTTGTGTTGTAGAATTTACGTTCTTCATCGAGACACGCACACAGATACGAATTTTCGCACACGCGCACACATGTTCATATTTTTGCAATCAATGTGCAAATCCATTGCGCACACCCACACACTGCCGTCGCGCACGTGTGTCTGTGGCGCTCTTCTTTTCTCGCTCTCACTATGCTTCTCTGTTTGTGTGTGTGCGCGCAAGCGCCCAAAATTAACGCAAAACTAAAAAAAAAAAAACAACAAAAATAACAACGGTCTCTCCCACTCTCCTTTCTTTGTTTTTGTTTTTTGTTTCGCACAAACACGGAGAGCCGCGCGCGAAAAGGAGAGCGAGCCTAACGACGAGCGTCCGCGCGTGAGAGCAGGCCGGACAGATAGTGGCCAATGCCAAAACGAAAAAAAAACTTTATTTTGGTTTTTTGTGGTATCTAAGTTATTGTTGTTGTCGTTAAAGTGTTTGTGTTATTATTCTTTATATTATATATATAGTAAGTGTTGTTGCTGTTGTTGTTGATACAAAGTACTACTCTGCACATTTTGCATGGGAACACACATTTCATGAGCGAATTAACGGAACAAAAAACATTTTAACGCACGATTTTTTATTTGTAGATATATGTATATAAACTGAACACAATTGTTGTAGTTGTAGCTGTAGCTGTAGCTGTTATTGTTGCTCCTGATGTCGTCTTGGAGAGCTGCAAAGAGTAACAGAATAAAGAAAAGCTTAGTTGGACAATTTTATGAAGAGCACGTTTACAGTTAAATACACAACGACAACAAAATAGCGCATAAAGAAAAGAACCAAATTCAATAACATTTTGCGCGGCGCAAAATAAAAAATAATAATAATAATAATGTGTAAAAGAAACCAAATAAAGGAAAAACACGCGCTGCTCACAAGAACACATACACTAAGATACTCGCACTCGCACTCGTCTCTCTCTCTCTCTCTCTGGCAAGCGCAGCAGGTGAACGAACGACACGCGACGCATGTGTGTCTGTCAGCATGCATGTATGTATGTGTGTCTGTGAGAGAGTGAGTTCTAATAGCAGCGAACAAGTTCAGTTGAGCGCCACGCGCACTCAAACACACACACACACACACACACACACATACGACAGCAGTGGCAGGCAGGCAGTAGCGTTCATAGAAAGCGCAGCTTGGCAGCGCTGCTGGCCGACTAAAAGCTTTTTGCTATAAGCAGACAGCTGTTAAGCGCCTGTTGCCAGGCAAAATTTGCGCTTTTTAATTAAAATGTGTGCGCAAATGTTTTAATGTGTTTAGCAGTCAACTCACACAAACACACATACCATAGAGAGCGGCGCAATACGGTGAAAGTGACCGCAAGTTTTAACCATTTACTGCTGTTATTGTTATTGTGATATATATATGTATGTATATATTTTGGCATTTGTTTGTGCTCACTGTTGCCAAGCAAATTGAACGAACAGTGTTGCCACATAATTGCAAATGCTGCTGCTGCTTGTTGCAAAAAAAAAAAAAATAAACATTACTCATGCACACACACACACTCACACATAGCCGGCACAAGTTCAGTGCAAGCCAAAAACCAGTTCCATCATGAATTATTCTTTTTAATTTCTCTGATTCACACGGTGCAAAAAAATAAGTTATTTTTATATGTCCACACATACATACTCAAGCACACACACAGCAAACAAAAACGATAAAAAAGTAAGTTTGTCGTATGCGTCACGACAAACGCAAGCCAAATGTTATTTGATAGTCATGCAGATAATATTGCCAACTTCTAAAGTAAGCTAAATCTGTTTATTTACATTCGAGCTTGATGCAATAAAAACCTTAATTAACTAATATCTACTTCAAAAACAGCTAATAATGACGCTAAAAAAAAAAGCCTAATTGGCTGCACTGACACTGACACCATACTACATGAAACTTGACGAATGCTGCCCACACGGACACACACGCACATACACACACCGAGTATGTTCATCAATCAAAACTAGCCGCATTCCCATCAAGGCAGCAACAGCTGCTGCTTATCAATTGCACGAGTTGTGCTTGTGACCGATGTGCTTGTGACGTCACAAATGTACCGACAATCAAGAGCAGCAAATACTCTGATCAAAAGCTAACTAACTGCTCGCATACATTGACAATGATGATATATATATATATACATATTTGCGTGTGCCTGTGTGCGTGTTTATTTTTAACCAGGCAGCAACAAAATTTCGCATGCATCATAATTTATTTTTGGTCTACGAGCAAAATCAAAGGCAGCAGCGGCAGCAGCAGCCCCCACGCAGAATCCCACACGACGCGCCAATTAAATTTTACGCGCAGCTGGCAACTCTGCATCTGGTGGGTGGTCGCTTACAGCCAGTGCTGTTCCCTTTCCTCTCTCACTCTCTCTTCATTTGATTTATTTATTTATTTTTTTTTTTTGTAACTAAAAGAAAACTTTAGCGATCCAGTCGTGTTTGACGTCAACACACAGCGGAGAGAGATATATAGATAGAGGAGGAAGAGAGTGAGAGCGCGTACTGCTTCTGCTTTCGCTTTGCACAAACTCACACACGCACAGGCAGCCTGGCGCTATCAGTGTTGCTCAATTAGCTATTTTTCTGCTATTTGGTGCAAGAAAAAATACTCTAATTTAAGATATCCCATTTTTATAGAACTCAAATATGTTAATAAATGAGTTGATTATAAGTATTGAAACATTTATGAAGAAATATGCGGATTTCTGACTCAGTCTATATCTCTAATGCTTCTGTCTATTTGGGGCTAGTTCTAGCTTATGTGTATCAGCACTATTTGTGCTCTGCCGTTGCCACTGCCACTGCCACTGCCACAGACAATCGTCGCTCTCCCTCTCTAACTTTATACACTGCGTTGTTTGTTTGTTTTTTTTCTCTCTCAGACGGATGGGCGCATGCTCTAGTCGCAGACGCGCGCGCGTCATGCGTGACCCAAATAGCCGCCATTGCTGCTTTACTTTACTTCGTCTAGTTCTGCTTCTTCTTCTATTTAATGGTCACACAAATCAGTAGAACTGAACCAAACAGACATAATAGAATTTAATACACATAGTTCCTACATATAAGTATCTGTGTATATGCTAAAATGTTAGAAAGTCTTTTGCGCAACAGTTAATAAATTTCTGTGACTGCGTCCGTGTCTGTCTGTCATTGTGTGTGTGAGTGAGAGAGTTCCCGTTTTTCGCTTTTGGGTGCGCGCAGCACCAAAAATACTTTGTAGGCGTTTTTCGGTGCGCGCTGCTTGCTGATAGCCACAAACATTTCTTTATTTTATATTTATTTTGTTTTGCACTTTTGAAAGCATTTTCTTAAATGGCTTGAAGAGCAGACGATTGAGCGAGACAGAGAACAGACAGCAAAATGCTTTCATTCCATTTCGTTTTTAATTTTCTTTCATTTCTTATTTATCTTCTTTTTTTTGTTAAGTGCGTAACGGAATGCCCGCTGGCATTCACACACACATATATACATAATAAATATATACATATATGAACGGCAAAATTTACATTCTCGCTACGTTTATTATACATACGCTCTCTCGCCTTTTGTTTGGTTCAAAGTTCAATGACCGATTTCGCCGCGTCGAATTCAGCGGCGCAGTCGCTGTTGCCCTCGAAGTTGACGACGACAGCGTCGCTGCCAATGCCTCTGCTATTGCTGCTGCTTGACAAACACACATACAGACAAGGTCAACGCAATAATCGAGTTGCCATTTTTTTTTTTATTTTTGCTTAAAACGCAATAACACAACACAATAACGGGCGCGCTTGCGTGTGTGCGTGCGTGCATCAATGACGCCGGCGCGCAACTTTGACAGTGGCATTGAAATTGCTAACAGCAGCAGAAGCAGCAGCAGCAACATGTCTGATCATGCAAGCGTCGCTGTTGCTGTCGCAATAGCGCGCTGCCTGCGCAACCAGAATAAATTCCAATTAGACAATTTCCGACTCTTTGACTAGCTCTCTCATTCCCGTTCCCTCTCTCTCTCTTTCTCTCTCTCACGGCCGTGCGCAACGAAATTGCGACTTTGCAAGAAAAATGTTTATGTTATTATTGCTGCACATTGTTGTTATTATTACGGTTTATTACACACGCATTTGCAAGTGCACACACACACACACACACACACACACACATAGCAGTTAACAGTGCTCGTGCTCTCTCGCTCTCTGCGTCTGATTAGAATTAATAACACAACAAAAGAAATTACGTTTTTTTTTTTCAATTTGCGCTTCTGCGAATTACTTTCACCTCCTCCTCAATTACCTACGACAATGACGCGGCTATTTTTCGTCTATCTATGCATGTGTGCGAGTGAACGTACATATGCGTGCGTATGTGTTGGGGTTTGTTTTTCGAAGCGCAGTTTTTGCAGTCTGCGCCACCCACCGCCAATAACAGCAGCAGCACGTGGAAAACGACGCCGCAGTTTTGACTGATTGAGCATTCAACTGTATAAAGCCTACTCCGCCCTCTTCCTCTCTCTCTCTCTCTCTCTCTCTCTCTCTCCTTGTTTCTATCACTCACGTTTTAGCTGCTGCGCCGTTGTCTTCTTCGCATTCACAGTTATTTGACTTGGCACAGCAATTGCTGCGCAATAATAACAATAATATAATAATAATAATAAATAGTATGACAAAGAAAATACCGACTAAATGCTGAAACACTACCCATCTCACTCGCTCTCTCTCCCTCTTTCTCTTACTCTGTTGATTAGAGTTGGAGACAGATAAATGCCTAATAAATCCATTAAAAATGTGAATTCAGTTTGAGTTTGCCGCTGGAGGCGTGGTAGTTTCTATAAAGTACATACATATGTACATATATAGAATCTTGTTCAGTATATACCTATCTATACTACTACTATATTTTATTAAATCAATTCCGTGAGCATTGCATACGTTTCGTGTTATTATCCAATACATTCGATATTTACGTCAATGGCCGACACTAGAACAAAACAGTGTTATAAATTGTATAAATATCTATACGTATTTATATATTACATTCTTGTAAAATGAATTGGAAATTCATTTGCCTTCTGCTCATCCCCTACTGCAGCATCTGCAGCTGCGGCTGGAATCCATGGCTTAGCTACAGTCGACTGAATGAATTGGGTAACAAGGAACTGATGCTGCTATTGCCAGGCGCACCAACATCAATATCAACATCAACATCTTTATCATCATCATTATCTTCATCTGCTTTGCCATCATCAATATCGTCACATCGAACCAGTAGCAATCAAAGCTGCCCACATGCCGCCACCAGAATAGCGGTAAAAGCCGCTCAGGTGGCAACAGCTGCACATGACGCCCAGTCAAATGCAGCCGAGAGCGCGGCCAAAGAGGCGCATAACCAATTGGCCGAGAAGGCCGCGCAGGCCTCCAAGGCCGTGCAAGCTGTGCTCAACGGTAAGCGGGCTCTGTTGGAAAATATCGAAAAGGAGTTGAAAATCGACGAGGAACTGCTGGCCAAGTTGCGCGGCTCGTTGCAGCACAGCGAAAGGGCTGCCGAGAAGACCGAGTGTGCTGCCAAAAAAGCCGAAGATGATCTGAATCGACTGCGCGAAATCGTTCGGCTTCTGAGCGGTAACGTGGCCACTGTGAATGCGCTCAACGAACAGGCCCAGATCGACTACAACGAGAAGGTCCAAATGCTAATGGCCGCCAAGGATCGATCCAAGCGCATCCATAAGGACATCGCCTGCGCCCGTGACGATTATCAGAAGGTGAAGGATGCCGCCGATCAGGCGGCGAGTGCCGCAGTCCAGGCCAAGCAGAAGGCGGTCCAAACTGTGACCGTTGACAGACGTACGATTCAGGCGCTGTTGCGTCGACGTCGACAGCAGCATCCCTTTTGGTCTGAAACCATATTCTCTTAGCTCTTACATCTGTATGGACATATCTATAAATCACATCTATATATCCATATCTATCTATTTAGATCATGTTGCACTTGAAGATCTCAGTGCATTATATGCAGATTGTTTCTTAAACAAATTTCGTGTATACTACATGCAATACAAATTAGGCTTTTACTCGAGATTTCAGTTCAGAGTTCTAATAAACAATGTGCTCAAAGCTCGCATTATGAGTTGGTTTCACATTCAACCTAATTCAATTTATCATTAATTTCCTTATCAATTATTATTTTATGTGCCAATAAGAAAACATATTAGCATTATTATATTTAAACAGCTCTCAAGCACTTTTAAATAAGCTTTTCTCAGAACTAACGACAAACATTATCCAATTGGGTTCTCAATAAGCCTAATCGTACTATAGACCTAATCATAAAATAATTATACAACACATTTAATGCGAAGAAAGTCGCAATTAACCATGAAAAGAACAATCGAACGAAGAGTTTACCTTATCTGTCTCTCTCTCTCTCTCTCTCTCGCTCATGCGAAGGAAATGCACCTGATTCCACAATAAACAATATATATATGTATATGTATTTGCAATTGCGATTTGCGCTTTTGTTTATGTTTATGGGGTAAAAGTATCGTTTGCATATTTAGCACAAATCCGTGAGCGTTTTCCCACGAAAGAAACAACAAAAAGAAGTAAACGAGAAGCAGGAATAACAATGGAAATTCATAAATAAACAAAACTACAAGGGCAAGTTAAGTGTGTAGATGTAAAGAACAATTAACGGGGAACGAAATGGAAATGGCATATAATGGAACACAGATGCAATAGTAATTGCTGTCTGAATGTATCGTTCCAATTGGTCCAATTGGCAAACAGCTGCTGCTGGAACCTTTCACATGCGCTTCCGTCCAGCTGTTGTGCTGTCCGTCGCAGCCAGCGGCAGCAGCACTGGCCAGCCCTTACCCTTAAAAAGGATTGAGCGAGAGCGCAAGCTTCTACTTATTGCTCTTGTGCTGCTGCTGCTGCTGCTGCTGTTGTTACCGGCAGCGTTGTTGAAAATTTCTGTTCAAATGAGCAGCAACAGTGCATGAGAGAGAGCGAGAGAGTACGAGCAAGTGCGCGCAAGTGAGCTAGGCGCAATGTGCGCTCATTCTCTCTCGATTGTTCTCTCGCTCCCAGTTTGTTGTTTGTTGGTGAATTTTTTTTTCTTGCTAAATAACAAATTGTAATTAAAAAGCAGCGAGAGTGAGATAAATACTGAAGGAGAGCGAGAGCGAGCGCGTGGCAAACATATTGCATTTGAGAATTCAACAATTTGGTAAAATGCATTTTATCAACAGCAAAAAAATAATCATAATAAAACAAATAACAGCGGGCGCTGCTCACGTCGCTCCGCAGTAGAGCCCTCGCAGTCACAGTCGGAAAAGCAGCATGAGAGCGCCGCGCTGTAGCTGTACAGGATTGTCGAACATGCGTATGTGTGTGTGTGTAGTGTGCTTGCTGTCAAATGGCGCTGCCCGCAGCGCTGCTGCTGCGGCGGCGTCAATGGCTTTTTAAAATTCTTGTTTGCCTTTTGCCAGCATTTGTATGAGTGTGTGATGTTGCTACCTGGCATGAACAATCACACACACATACACAGACGCACCGCAAAAACCACATGCCTTCCCAATCAGAAACAGAGAGGTGCACAAGCAGAAAATGCCGGCAAATCCAATATGTTTGCGGCGGCGGCGGTGGCGGCGCTGCCACCATCTGCGCGCAAAATGTAACACGGTGGCAACGCCAGCAGCGACGTTGACGCCAGCAGCAGCGGGTAACGCGTTCAACATAACCAAACAAATTTGATGCTGTTGACTGGCTGCGACTCACGCTCATACACACATACTCATGCATATGTGCATATCAATAAATACATGCATAAATAAAAGGCAGCACTTACATGTTGACTGTTACTGCTTGCTGCTGCTGCTGTTATTGTTGCTGTCGTTGTAGTAGTTGACGTTGTTGTTGTTACAAATTGTTGTCAATTTTGTTTGAGTTGTTGCTGCTGTCACTGTCGGCAGCGCCACAAAAAAACATGTTTCACTGGAAGCTAAAGACAACGGCGACGCTGCTTCTGCCTCTGCTGCTTACATACAGAGAGATACACGCACACACACAATATGTACATACTCATGTATGTATACAAATTTGCTTTTGCTTGTTTTTTTCTTTTCTTTTATACGTTTGTTGTTGCTTGCAGCTGAAAACGTTTAATGAAGAACAAAAAGGAACATGTACACACACACATGGGAAAGAGAAAAAGAAGGAGAGATATTAAAACATATATTCAACAATAACTTTAGCACACTGTAAAAAAAAAAACAGTTGGAAAAAGCGCTGTCGCACGCACACAGAGGTAGCGAAATGCGACGCTGCGGCTAACAAAAGAGCGCGTCGCAACAGCAGAGATGGACTAAAAAAAAAAAATCCGTACAAAAATGAGCATAAAAAAACAGACAAAAAGCGCTATGTAAGACACCGACTATTTTCCGATAACTATTTCTTCGTCTATAATGGTGCACTTTATAACTTTAGTTGGCTTAACAAAAAATTATATTAAAAACAAAAAATAAACGCAACACAATAACAAAAAATAAATGCACACACATACACCGATGCACGCACGCACAGTTCGTATAACGGTGGAACGGCGCAACGACGACGACAGCCGATAACGAGTACGAGCCGACGACGACGGTTTTTTCACCAACCTTTCTTACTGCTGCTGCTGCCACTGCTGCAGCGCTTAAAACATGCGCAAGCGACAAAAAAAAATTTAAAAAAAAGTAAAGAAATATAGCTGAAGCTAATGTAAGGCTTATTAGTAATGTAATTTGATTGATTTGATTTATAAATGTAATTTAATATTTTGTTTGTTGCCACACGCGAAAAGACGAAATCACGACAACAGCGACGACGACGGAAAAACGCGCGCTTACACGTCTGTACGTACCAAAGAGCAAAACGAAAATGAAGAGCAATGTAAAATACAAAAATACCAGCGCCAGTGCAAATACAAAAAAAATACTGTGCGAAACAGTGCTATTAAATGACACAAGGGGAACAGCGACAGTGTTGGTCAGTGTGCGCTTGCATTTCTGTTTTTCCAGCACGTTTATTTGCTTGCTTCGCTTTGAAGCTCCATTCCAAGCGTTAACACGCACACACTCGCACACAGACTCACACACATATACACACTGCTTGTATACTTGTTTTGATTTTATTATTTGGTTTTGGTTGGCAACCGGGCTCTGGCTACACCAGTGTTGTTAACTGGACGCCGCACACATGTCCCCTTTTAACTACATTTGCTTAGCGGCTTAAAGCCGATGCTTAATGATCCACTTTGATTGTATGCTCTTCTCTTTTCTTTCCTTTTTAAATCATAAGCTGTCAACACTGCGCCCAAAAAAAAAAAAGAAAAAAAACACACACACCCGACGCTTGAGAACTCACTTTACATGATGAATTCCGGCTTCCACTTATATGTAAGAAATGCACATGTCTTTCACTATATATAAGTTAATGCATTACTTTCCAATACTTTGTTTTAGGAATTTTCGTTCATTTCGAACAGTTTTTGTATTATTTTTATTACTCCACAAGAACAGGGCTGGCAGCTGCCAATAACTGCGCTTGCCAGGACTGCAACGCGTCCTATCGATATGCCGCGCATTTCGATATACACATAGATGGCTATGTGTGTGACGGCGCGCGATGTAAATTGTAAATTGTAAAATGTTGAATTCAATAAATTTATTAAAGTTAAACTGTGATCGAGAAAAAGTTTGTGAAAAAAAAATATTTCAAAGGAAAAAGTTTAATTTAATTGAAAACTTATTTCTGCTTGAGTTAAATTATGAAGTATACATAAACAAACAGTTACAACAAATAATATTTGTACATATATGCCAACAAATAGTTTGCATAGATATCACCAAAATTACATATGTATATATGGTGTAAATGAGTTTATCTACTATTTAACTTGTTAGACAGCTTAGTGTTAGCATTTCAAATCTTAACCGCTTGGCGCGCCTCCAACCAACAGCTGGCGCTTATCGATGACGATGCGATACAGTCCGTTGCAATGTTGCAAAACGAGTTTCAATTCAAATAAACAAAAACTCGCGATCGCATTTAATTGCACTTGTAAACATATCGTATATATATATGTATGTACATATGTAGATGTGTGTGTTCTCGAGATAATTAAGCTCAATTGTGGAGCCGCTTCTATAAAAGCCCCATAAACTCCACTCGAACAGCGCAGTGCAGACAAAGAGAAAGTGCAAAGATGGCAACGCAGCAGCAGCATTTCGATTATATGGAAAAATATCTGGTTTATGATATTTTTAAATATTTTGGCAACGATGCAACGCTAATTGATCACAATATAAAGTGTTCCAATGGCCTGGATGGTTTCATGTCGGCTGTTTACACGGTGGAGCTGACCATGGAGATTGCCGGAAAGTGGGTAGAATTGAATCTTATGCTTTGACCATACGATTATTAACTGTCATCGCCTTCTCCTGCAGCGAGCGCCAAGAGCTGGTGCTTGTGAAGTTCATGAAGGGCAGCCCGGAGTTTCGCGAATCCGGCAAATGCTACACACAGTTCGCCAATGAGGTCTTTGTTTACGCCGAACTGCTGCCGGCCTATGAGAATCTGTTGCGTGACAGCAAGTTGAATACGGAATTGGTTGAGCAATTAGTGCCGCGTGTTTATTGCGCGAAATTCGGTCTGATTAAGGGTACAAAGTTGATTTATTTGTTTGCTTATTTTTTCAATTCTGCTATTTGCAATTAACACAAGTATTTCACAACTTTTAGGTCTGGGCGAGGCACGTGAGTCGGTGTTGGCTTTGGAGCATCTGCAGCCGAAAGGCTTCAAGCTGGGTCCGCGGCTCACTCTGCGCCTGGATCAGCTGGAGGCCATGTGCTCGGTGCTGGGTCCATATCATGCGATGGGCTATGCTCTGAGCATCCTGCAGCCGAGGTTGGAGAATCGCCTGCGCCAGCAAGTTGTACCGCTGCACTTCGTCTCCGAGGCGAACGTGCCGAATATCTATGCGGTGCTCTATCGCATCGCTTTCGATCGATTCTACGAATTCTACAATCGCTGCCGTGATCAACTGCTCCAGCCGCAGGAGGATCGCTTTGCCGAAGCCATCGAGCGACTGCGTGTCAAGTACTTCGAGCAGCCGGAGAAGCTGCTGGAGGGTATCTTTAAATCTGCGTGCGATGATACGCAACCGGAATGGCATTTCAACACCTTCCTCCACGGCGATTTCAATCGCAACAATGTGCTGTTCCACGAGAACGAGGAGGGGCGGGTGGATGGCATACGCATGATCGATTTCCAGGAGCTGCGCTACAGCACCACAGCCATCGACATCAGCTTCTTCCTGTACATGAATACGCCGGCCGAGAATCGAGCCGAGATTTTTGCCAAACTCTTGCGCTCGTATCATCAGCGGATGCATCAGACCTTAGAGCTGATCCTGCAGCGTAATCATGAAACGCTCTCGGAGGAGCAGATCACCAACCTGCTCAGCAGTTACAGGTAGGTTCTCTTGTTAGTTAACGATAGAAGGGCAACGATTCACAGCCAATACCGTGTGAAAATCTCATTGCAGTTTCGCACGCTTCGAGCGACATTTCTCACGCTACGCGTTCTATGGCGTCATGATCTGCATGCATTTCCTGCCCTGGCTGCTGGGCAGCGAGGCGGACTGCGCCCAGCTCTCCAAGCTGTTCGAAACGGACATGCATGGCCCGGCCTTCTACAAGTTATCGATGGACATAGCCGGAGATGAGGCGAATCGACAGATTTTCGGCGTAATGCGTCACGCCTTCGAGCAGGGCTACATGGATCACATATGAGCTGCAATCAGTATAATATATGTACATACATATATACATATATTTATTTAGTATATGTACATATGTCTATATATGCCCTTTTCACGTATTCCACTTGCTATCAGCATTTCAGTTTCGTTTCACATTGTTCCGCACGCTATCTAAAGCATTCTTATCGCTATATTTTATATTATATGTTTTATGATTGCATTGTTCCGAATTGCAGTTAACTCAATTGTGAGTGTACTAATTCAGCTTTAACAATGTGGAAACGAATGGAATGGGAACACTAGCTTATTGTCTTGTATACTAGCAGTTGAGTTGATATGAAGATGAAATGAAGTTTTAAATTCATGGAAACAATTGGAATCGAAACATTAGCTTTAATATGCATTTATAACTGTAATCAATTTGAAATGAAACGTTAAGTGCCTACAGTTAAGTTGCCTGCTCGATTGCCACATATGAACATGGAACACTCGTAGAACTATGCCAGCAACAATCGGAATTGAAACGCAATTGTGATAAGATACCGAAAAAAATGAAAGAAATAAATGAAATATAGCCATAGATCTTTATCAGGCCGGAATTGGAATTCGGAACAGCATTATCATTATTATTATTATTATTATTATTATTATTTTGTCAATTCTGTTAATGCCAGGTCTTTCAAACGACAAAGCCTAGTCTTGTAAAATTTACAAATATTTACCCAAATGTTTTTCTATTTACGAACAAATGAAACGAATTAATGAATCAATTTAGAGAATTTTGTTTGTCTTTATCTCTGAAGTTATGTATCTCTACTCGGAATCCATATGCATATACATATGTATGATCTATGGATATGCGGCAATTCAACTATTTGTAATATATAACCCAACTATCGCTCAATCCAGTCCTAGCTCAATTGTGAGTTCAGTTCCGCTAGGTAGATTTCATTTCGGGCTGCCTTCAAAGCTCGATTAATTTAATGGAATGACTGGAATAACTGGAATGACGCAAGCAGCAGCAGCAGCAGCAGCTATCAGTCAGGCCGCAACGACCTTGATTCACATTTGAATATTTATCTAACAATGACAGCTAAAAAAAAAATTCTTGACTTGTGCCCCAAACTTTTCTTTCTTTTTGTATGCCCATTGAATGTTTGACAAATGGGGTATATTGTTCATGTGCTCAGTTTGTATTTAGCATTTAATAATTTGTACAATTATGGCTAAAACTGATTTTCAATATCGATAAATATCGATAAACGTATTTTTTATGATATATAGAGAAGAGCTTTAGGAGCTACAGAACTTTAGTAAATTCTTTACAGACATTTACAAATTAGATACTTATTCGATTTTATTGATAGGGTATCTCTAGGCCGAGTCCTTTCGACTGTGTAAATGTTATCCTGCTAATTTTAATCAAATATCGAACAAAATCTAAAGTTCTGGCTGTCATAGGGTATCTGGTAGTCGTGCACATGTCTATCTGTTAATATCTAGGACTTATTTAAGCCATTCTCTGTATGTATATAGAGAACTCTGTTCACCTAAGCAACATAAGCCGCAACCTTAGAGCCGCGACTCCAGCTGCAGCAGGATATCTGCTAGTCGGGCATACCCCATGGTCGCATATTTGGAGCTCTTTGTTTGCACAACTGTCGGCCAGCGAGCGGTGTCTATAAAATGCCACCCAGTCGCAGATTGGCGGCACAGTTCCACTGGATGACGGTGCACTCCATGATGCTACCAACGACAGCCTGGCTATTGATGGCACTGATGGCGCTGCGGGCGGGCCGGTTGCTGGCTGACGAGCAGCTGGCCGCGGAGCTGGCGTATTATGCAACAGCTGGCAGCGAGGATATCTATTTGCAGGCGAACAGCGGACAGTGGGAGGAGTACAAGGATTATCCCGACGATAAGGCAAACGAGCGAGCGGAGGAGGAGGACGACTCTGTGGAGGATTCCGCGGAGGAGCAGCCAGAGGGCGACAATATCGAGGCCGTTGGCCTGGATGAGAACAGCTGCGAGTATAGCTGTCCGCGTTACTATCGTCCCGTATGCGTCAAGCGCAACGAACAGCTGATCACCTATGCCACGCCCTGCGAGTACCTCAATCAGCTGCGCTGCGCCAATGTCGTCCGCAGCCAGGGCAAGGAGGCGCCCACCTATCAGCTATTGTATCAGCATGCCTGCAAAGAGAATAGACACTGAGACCGAGCTGTGAAAGAGAATTGGTTTTGTTTTTCTTTTCATTGATTGATTGATTGATTGATTGATTGATTGTGTGAGTGACTGATTGAGAGGAAGCAAGCCTGGAAATAGTTTTAAGTGAAGCATGTTTTTTTTTTCTTATAAAATATTAGATTATTAATTGATTGATTGACTAATTGAAAAAGTGTTTCTTGACAAGATTTGTTATTGTTTATGTGTCATATATAATAGCATATTGATTGATTGACTTTGACTAAATGATTGACTGATTGACCACTTGTTTGAATGATTATTTGATATACAAGTCAATCATTGGCATGGGCCTCTGAATCATTTATGTTGTACTACTGATTGATTGGCTAAGCAGGATCAGAGCATGGAGAATATATATGATTAGGTTTACGTTATATTCTATTTCAAAAGAGAACGATGGATGTCAGTCAATCAAACTGCATGATTGATGGCCAGATGATAGCTGATTGTTTTCAATTCGACTTATGATTTGATCATTCGCATAGCTTTGATTGATTGATTGATAGACATTCAACCAAGTGTGGACAACTCTATGTGAGTCATGATTGATTCACGCTTGATGATGGAAGCCTTCTTGGCCTAAGGAGCAACATTATTCATCACTTTCTCTCTCTCTCTCTCTCTCTCTCTCTCTCTCTTTGAGCCTATCATTGTTACAGGGTATGCAGCAACTTTTCGTCTTCCCCCTCTTCGGCCCACCCTGGCTACAATATGCAGCTCCCGCATGAATCCCTTCCATCCAGTCAGAGGCTTAAATAAAAACAACTTTCCTTTTGTGTTTTATATAAAAAGTGTTTCAAAATCTTCTTGTTTTTTATTTATTAACGGCGACAGCCCAGTTAGCTGTCATTGGAATTTAACATTTACTACAAGCTAGTTACGAGCTAGGTGTACAAAATAGTATTATCGTGTTGCGCTCGGGCCGAATACTGCAGGCAGTCTCGTATATAGCTTCGGTTTGACTGCGATCAGGGTATCTAATCGGCGGGACAGTTGCGCTTACTGCTCAGCTGGCCGATGTCCACAAAGGTGTTGCGACGCTTTGCTATGCGCTGCAGCGAAGGCAGCGGCGACTGCGACTGCGACTGTGGCTGCGGCTGTGCCGCGTTCACGCTAGGAGTGGGCTTGGCTTTGCCCATAAACGATGTATGCCAATTGATGAAAGAGCTTCGCATGTTTTGCTGCGACTGCTGCTGTTGCTGCTGCGACTGCTGCTGTTGTTGCTGCTGTTGCTGCTGTTGCTGCTGCTGTTGCTCTTGTTGTTGTTCTGGCTGGTGTTGTTGCACTTGCAAGTTGGCAGTGATATTCAGCCGGGTGCCTAGATCATCCGGATTTAGAGTCTTGCGACGTCTCATTATTTTCACCATCCCCACCTGCTGCTGCTGCTGCTGCTGCTGCTGGGTGGATATCACAGGATTACGATTGTCTATGAATGGTCGCGATGTGGGTAGCTTTTGGAACTTGTACGATAGCTCCGAGTACAATTTGAAAATGAACTCTTCGTTGCGGTAGAGCGTGTGCCGCAAGCTGCTCTTGCTAATGATCAGACCGTTCTGGAACTGATAGAGCACCTGCATGAGGAACTTCTTGAGCTCCTCGTAGGGATGAGTCTCTTGGAAGCGATGCACCGAGTCCCGGTGGAATTTATGGCAATGCTGCATGTACTCATCGAAGCCATCGTTCAGTATGGCCTTGCACAAGTGGCACTGCCTGAATTTCCTGTAGTGGTCGATCATGTGGCGCAACGTCTCCTTTTGGCATGTCGAGGCGAACATGCAGAACGAACAGTGATAGATGACCGTCTCGCTGAGCAAGCGGAAGCAAAACAATTCGGGGGCATCACTATGCTCGACCCGGCCGTGCTGTGCCATCGCCATATCCGTGGGCATTATCACCCGGCAAATGCTGCACTGATAATACCGGACGGGGCAAGCGTCTGTTTTGCTGCCCATCGCCAGTAGCTGGTTCAGCTCAGTGTTGTTGAGCGACTTCAGGTCATTGGAGAGATGCGCCTCGCCCAGCATATGGTATATGAGATTCAACGAGCTGGTGAACTGATGCGAACAGAAGGCGCACTCGTTCGGCTTCGTCACATCACAGGCGACCAGCTGACGCATCGAGTGCATATTGGGCAAATGATTGTCCAGCAGGGCTTTCGGATTGCCCACAAATTTGCGGCACATGCCGCAGCGCAATTGCGGCTGGATGCTGAAATAGAACGGTTGCTCGCTGTGCATTGTGGCCCAGTGCTTGGTGCGCAGCTCGTCCACGCTGTACGACGTTACGGTGCAGTGCGAGCAGGCAAACTCAAATGTTGTCTGCAATTAAGAGGATCATACGTTAAGCTATGGATCTATGTATGTATCTAGCGATGCAACTTACCTGCCCGTCGGTCTCCTCATCGGACGACAGCAATTCAATCTCATCGATAAGAACGTACTCATTCGGATTGATATTGTTGTCGTCGTTATTATTATTATTGTTATTATTATTATTATTATTATTATTATTATTATTATTATTATTATTATTATTATTGCTACTCTTGCTGTTGCTGATTGTGGGTAATATGTTGCTGCTGTTGCTGCTGCTGATTGTGGGCAATATGTTGCTGCTGCTGATTGTGGGTAATATGTTGCTGCTGCTGCTGTCGCTGATTGTGGGCAATATGTTGCTGTTGCTGATTGTGGGTAATATGTTGCTGCTGCTGCTGTTGCTGATTGTGGGCAATATGTTGCTGCTGATACTCGGATTGCATTTTATTGTGTCCAGTGCATGGGCCATCTGCCAGTAGTCGCTATCGAGCAGCTCGTTGGGCACCCGCTCGAACATCTGTATGGCCAGCCCCGTTGCGTTCTTGTGCGTTTGTTGCATGTGCAGGACAACCGACCACTCGGTGGATTCGCCAAATGCGCAGTGCGGGCAACTGAACTGGTTGCCCGATCCATGGCTCTGGGCGCAGTGCTTGCGAATGCACTGTAGGGTTTTCGCAACAGTGTTGCATTGGATGCAGTAGAAGCCCAGCGTGTGCTTGTTTCTCACCCTCGAGTGCTGATAGTTGACAATCGGCTGCACACGGCAGTTGGGATGATCGCGTCGTATGTGCTTGATTAAGGGCGATAACGAATTATCGGCCAGACTGCAGTAGCCGCAGTTATACGGCTGCGTGCGTCCGTGCTGCTGCTCCATATGCGTTGTCATCGCGAAATGGTCATCCATCACAGCGGAGCAGAGATTGCAAATCCAGTCATCGTAATTGCAGCGCAGCGACAAGGCTGAAAGAAGGTGGAAAAATCTATGGTCAGCACTTTGGGATAAATCGTAAAAGGCTTCGGCACTTACACGACTGCAGCCAGCGGGTCTCATCGGTGTCGGGATTGCCGGTGCGCCTGTGTATGAGCACATTGATGAGATTGGTGCCGTGACGGACATGGATGTGACGCTCGATGCCGCTGCGCCGCGGTAGGGTTGTGTCACAGCGTCCGCACTGAAAGATGTACCGCTTGTGGTACAGCAAGTGATCCAAAAACGCTTCGACCGAATTCAGGCTGGTCTGACAGTGGGCACAACAAAAGTTCTTACCATAGCTGTGTGTTGCAGCAAAATGCTGGCGCAACTCCAGCTCCGTCGGCAGATGAGCTTTGCAATCCTCCATGCCGCAGACGAAGCGCTTCGACTGGGGCACATATTGCCGATTGGGTGTGCACGGCATATTACGGAAGCGGCTTTCGACGGAACTAGACGGGCCCGATGGCATGACCACTGTCTCTGGCGGAACACTTGCCCCTGTCAACTGTCCATTCTGTTCGTTTGGCATGGCGAGACGCAACGCTGACTCCTTGTGCGCCAGCAGATGACTGTAGAGCTCCTTATACGAAACCGTCTTGAACTCACAATCGGCGCACTTCAAGCTCTGGCTGCTAAACAGTCGACGAGGCAGCAGACGCAGTTCCGATGGCCGATAGATGGTCTTGTTGCCCTGACGTCGCTGCAGCCACTCGTTCGTCAGCTGACCCATGAATTCATCCATTTGCTTCTTGCCAAAGGGCAGCTTGACAGCGCTGACCCAACATCTGTACAGCTCCTGATTGGCGCTCTGTGGCTGCTCCTCCGGCTGTGCGGGCAGCTCCACGAGCTCTGGCTGGCAATTGATTTGATGGTACTCTTGGCGGTGCCGAATCAACTGATGCTGCTCCATCAATGTACGATTCGGCGTCGTCTCCAGGCAAATGCTGCAAAAGTATTTGTGGCGAGCGTGCGCCTGCTGCAAATGGGAACGCAAGCTGACCGGACGCTCGTAGCTCTGGGCACAATATTTACAATTGAGCGGGCCGGTCATCTTAGTGCTTGACATGTGAAAGATCACATGACTGACAAATGTACTCTCAGTCAAGGAAACGTTGCACGATTTCAAGGGGCACGCGTACAGCTTGTTATCTGCAATGGTAACGTAGTAAAGATGGTTTTAGATCGCCTATTCAAGCCAATAGAAACAAGTAAGAAAGTTCTATGTGAGATCCCCTGAACCTTTCAAGCAACTGATGTTTCAATAATTATCCGCTTCGACCCACTATGAGAAAATAATTGTATAACATTTCTTTTGTCGGTGGACTATCTTCCTAAGACTTTCACATCGTGATAAACATTAAACTTTTTACCAAAGCATACGATTCTAGTACAGTCGAGTCGGGATTTGTTTTTTTTTTTTTTTTTTTTTTTTTTTTTTTTGATTTACACAGGATTTCAAATTATGAAGAGCGATTTTTTTCGATTTATCTCGATTTTACGGAGTACAAATTACAGAGAATCCACTGTGTTTGGAATACGCCTTTTGCAAACGAGTGGATTAGGGGTGGGATAACTAAAATAATATGAATCTATGTTCATAGCTTGCGAGTCTCTAGCTTGAAAGATGTTATGAGATATAATTCGATAACTGATTTATCATCGATAACAAAATAGCGGAAGGACTTATCGGTGCTTGGAAACAAACTCGATATGCGCGCTCTATATACGGACTTACAAGTACAAATTTGCAAGTCTCTAGCTATAATTTTCGGAGATCTACGCGTTCATAACAACATACGGATGGACGGACGGACAGACACACAGACGGACAGCGCTAAACCAACTCAGTTCATCGCCCTGATTAAGAATATATTCCTTATGGGGTCTGCCATGCCCAGTATATCTTAATATTCCATTTTCAATGGGCTCAAGGTAGAACAAAATATCTTTCTTTCACTGAGCAGCTTGAAGGATTAATTCAAGGAAGGTGAGGGGATGGCATTACCCCCATACCTCCCTTGAGTACTACAATTTTACGCTATAGATGCCTAGATAGATCCCTATCGTTAACATCCCTCAACGGCCTAGACCTTAGCTTAAGCCCTTAAGGTTTTCCTACTATTCGTAGCTGAATTGAAATGTTCCTTAAGCTACATAAATTCGGTAGAAATTCTTGTTTCTTACCATCAAAGCCAGTTGTCTTGAGTAGATCGTCTAGCACTGTACTAATGGGCGCGTTTTGTACTTGAGCACCATTGTAAGTCATAGGCGATGCAGCTACAGCCCCAACGGCTGTAGCGGAAGTCGCCGACGTAGCTGTAGCTGCAGCCGTCGGTATGGCTGTGGCTGTGGCTGTAGCGTAGGAATTGGAATTCTTGCGTAGATTGAGCAATTCGCGAATGCGTTGATTTGTTGACGTTGCGGCCGCAGCTGCGTTTACCGCATCCGTCTCCTGCAGCTCTGAGCGCGAGGCGAGACCGTGCTCGACGACGCCGTGCAGTACATAATCATTGACATCATTTGCGATGTGCGGACAGTAGGCGCACTGCAAATAGTCCAGGCTGCCAAAGCTATAGCTATGGAATCTCATGTGCTCCCGTATGCGCAGCACCGTGTGCGCACAGAAATTGCAATTGGCGGCCATGCAACGAAATCGATCCACAGCAAGGCCTGTGGCACGCTGCTCCGTCAACGGCTCAATTGATATTCTAATCTGGGTGGGTGACTCGCCCGCTGGCTGCTGGGTGAGCACAAAGTTGGCATTGGCCAGGGGTGCATCGCCGATGATCTCAGCCGGCGCATTGTGGGCCAGGCTAAACACTTGATTGATGGCCAGCCCCAGCTCAGAGTGATGATTGACCACAGCTGCAATTGGAGTGGTGACTGTACTTCCCTCCGCTGGCTCATTGTCCAACAAATCGAGCATCATGGCATTCGGAGCCGCATTGATGTCTCCCGACTCAACGGGCTCTAGCTCGGATTCTGGCTGAATTAGCAGCCCCTGCTCTACCTGCGGCTGCACTGCCGCCACATTTTCCGCGTCAGCCACTAGCCGATCGCCCGTAAAGCGACGAATCCGCAGCTTAGGCACCACGGGTTCCACAGCTGGCGGTTTTTCTGCATTAGCATTCACCGCCATATGACAGCTGACCAGATGCTGTAGTTCAACACTGATAGAAAGCCCCTGCACGGTCTTCTCCGTTGCCTGAGCTGCACAGCTGCCACAATAACCGCTCCAACGCACCTGCGGATGCTCGCGTGCGAAATGATTCTCTAGACCCTCCAGTTCGTCGGAAAACAGGAACTTACAGCCCTTGCGCATACAGTAGTAGGCGGGCTCCTGTGTCGGTGTCGCACGCAAACGGTACGCCACATTCTCCACACTGAACTGCGGTAGTGCAGCCGAAACCGTGGGCAAGGCTGATTGCTCGTTTGCCTCATCTGACAATGGTGGGGCTACTGCTGGTGGTGCTACGGGTGCTGGTGATACTGGCTGTTGTGCTGCTGGTGGTGGTGGTGGTGAAGTAGTTCCTATTGCATACTTTGCCAGAGAATCCATATCAGCACAGTCCCCATCGGTGCAGCTGCTAGTAGCAGATTTGTTGGATTTACTGCTCGATTTGCTAGCGGGCCTCAGTTTCTTGTAGAATTTTTGGAAATTTTTGAACAGGGACTTGGGCGCTGCACTGCTGCTGCTGGAGTCGACATCGATCCATTCGTCCTGTGGATTGGTCGGCTGCTCTGGATGCTCCTGCTGTTGCTCTTCCGGTTCGATGGTCTCCTGTTCATTGTCAGAGTTATCGCTGCCTATGCCGGAAACCGATAAATTATCCAATTGCTCTTCCTGTTGCTCCACTTGCTCCATCGGTTCGGCCGATCCCTGCGCTTCTAGTTGCTCTTGCTGTTGCACCGTCTGTTGTTGCTGATCTTCCTCTTCCTCAAATTTGCAGGCATTGATCACCACCAGTTCATCCTCCTCGGGCAGCTCAGGCGGCGGCATGTTTAAGACATATTCACATTCAGAAGTCGTCGTTTCCGGCTCCGGCTCCGGCTCCGGTTCTGGTACCGACTCCACTTTCAACGAGACTAGTTTTTTCAGCTTTTGGTGCTTCTGTTTCTTTTTCTGTGTTTGCTTCAACTTCAGCTTGTTCAGTTTCTTTGACATTGTCGGATTCTTAACGATCTTTTTGTTCTTTTGCTTTTTCACATACTCTTTGGAATTTTTACCTGGGACCTTCTTCTTGTGAATTTGCACACCCGTCGTCTCGTACAGTAACAGCTTTTCGCCCAATCCCTCCAACGACTGATCCGTGAGGCCGTGCTGCTCCTGCCAGTGCTTCTCCAGATTTTCTCGATTCATCTGCACAAACTCGCACAGGTGGCACACATGGATCGTAAACGGTTGAGAACGGCTATAGCCTTTGGCGCGAATAGCTTTTGCACCTTTTCCGCATTTGGCCACATGAAGCTCTATGTGATTCGGACGCTCACTCGGCATTTTACAGCGCGTACACGAATAGTGATATTCGCCCGTATGCCGAGCGTAATGCTCCGCCCAGCTGTTGGTCGGGTTCTTCAACTGTTTGTTGCAGAAGAGACATTCGTGTTCAAACTGAAGGTAGCCAATTTGAATTCCATAGGCCGGTTTTGTGTGCAGCCCATCGCGAAGCTTCTGCAGATTTCCGGGCGGAAAACGGGCCGCAAAGAACTCGCCATGTTGCTGCACATAATGGGACAGGGAAGAGCGGAATGTCTGGTTACAAACGACACAGTAGCTCGCTGCGGCAGACAACGAATGCCACTCAGAATTGGTGTTCTTGATGACAGTCGAACTGACTGCGTTCTGTTCTATCAAACGATTCAGCTTGGCGCAGCGTGGCAGACGTACCTTACAGTTCTTCAACACCTGTTTGGCCGTATTCTGCTCTTGCCGCTGTTTGGCCTTAAAGCTGGTCCGATTCAGGCCAGATCTGTTGCCCGCAAAGGGACGCCCACGCCGCGCCACATTGCGTATGTAGGGAGCCAATTCGACTTGGCTGGCAAAGCTGGAGCCGTTCTGGCTGCAACTGCTGCGCCGACTGGACACACTGGAGGAGCTACCCTCCATTGCCTTCTGTTGTGTTGTACAGGCACGTTTGCCCGTCGCATGCATCACATCATCAGCATAATACATTTGCGCAATGTCGTCGTTCAGTTTCTCCAGCTCGTTGCGCTTGGATTTGCGTCGGGTGCTTGCTGGAGGCGGCAGTGTATCCATGCAGGCGACCTTTGCGGCCGGCTCCTCCTCTTCTCCTGACTTCGGCTCTGTATGCTCTTCAGTCGCTTTCTTTGGCGGTCGGCCACGCTTGCGCTTGACAGTGGAGCTGTTGGTACTGGTAGTGCTAGTATCGGAAGTCGTACTGGTATTGCAAGTATCGGAGGTGGTGTTGGTGGTACTTTTGGTGGTACTTTTTCGCTTGTTCGACACCACCACAGGCTGCTCCTTTGCCTTATCTTTGGGCTTTGCCTTCGACTTTGTAGGCTGAGCTGATGCCATTTTGAACACGTTTCGGCTGAGCTGTGTCTCATTTAAAGTCCTATCATTGAAGCCCGATCGTCGCTTACCCCACACTATATTTTGGGTAGATATGCTGCAGTTATCGATAGGCTTTTCAAACATGTTGGCCAGATGTTTTGCTTGGGAATCCTTTTGATGCGTAGATCCCAGCTGTTGACGCTGACGGTCCATCACATCCTCGTAGACGAAACTTTCAGTGAATAGCTTCGATTTATCTACTAACGGCCTGCTCGCTACCGGCATCATGGATTTCCTGCGTTTCATAATACGCTTTAATTCTGATTCCGCATTGGGCGGCGATTTCATCTCAACGTCTTCGCCATCGAAGCCATATTTTACCGATTTATCCACTACCGGTATCATGGATTCCCTGAATTTCATTGCACGATCTACCTTTGATTCAGCATCGGACTTCATCTCCGCTGTATCGTCGTTACCATCGCAGTCGGGTGTTGCTAATGTATCTACCTCCGGTACCTTTGATTCGGCATCGGAGCTAGAGTTCATTTCCACCGCATCGTCATCACCATCGCAGTCAGGTGCTGTCGATTTATTCTCTAACGGTAGCATGGATTTCCTACGTTTCGTGATGCGATCTACCTCTGGCTCGGTATCGGGCTTTGATATCATTTCAATCGTATCGTCGTCCCCATCGCAGCCAGGTATTACCGTTATGGTATGCGCATTGGGGCCCAGCACTACCTTTATCTTGGGCAGTTTGGGGGGTGATTTACACAAATCGTTCTCGACTGCCTGCTGGAGTTCCTCGATTTTTGGTTTCGTTTCTTCGGGCAACTCTTCCACATCAACAAACACATCTTCTGCATCCACCTCCTTTTCTTGTTCCTCTTTCTCATCTACGTCGGCATTTCCATTCACCCCCTTTTCATTTTCCTCTTTCCCATCTACGTCGCCATTCTCATTCACCTCCTTTTCCTTTTCCTTTTCTTTTTCCTCTTCCCCATCTACGTCGACAATCTTATCCACGGCCTCATTCTCTTCTCCTTTTTGTTCTTTACTGTGGCGTACCGCTTTATCTGTTGCCTCTTGAGCTGGCGGCTCATTCTCCAAATTATCCGTATTATCCGTTGCCTCCGGTTGGTTCTCTTCTTTGTCTTTCTGCTTATCCGTATCTGTACTACAATACTTGCTCGTACGCTTATCCTTATCTGTACTACAATACTTGCTCGTACGCTTATCCTTATCCCTTGAGTCTTTATCATCGCGAATTTTTGATTTGTCGCGTTTAGAATGATGACTTTTGTGAGATTTTTTATCCTCTTTATACGTTTGGTTTGAAGTTTTCTTATCCGTATCCTTTTTATCAAGTCTCTCACTTTTCTTAGAATTTGCTGATCTATCCGTACTATCGTGTTTCCTACTGTGATTTGAATTAGCTGCTGTCTCAGAATGTTCACTTTTATCACTTTTATCTGTCTTATCTTGGGTAGTCTTAATCGATTTTTTCTGATTCTCCGACTTATCCGGCTTATCAGACTTCTTTGACTTTTGCTTCGTACCCAATGAACCACTATCACTTGACACCTGCACGGCATCCACCCCATCATTCCAGTTCTTTTCAGAATCACAAATGTTCGCATACTTATCTGTTCTATCAGCCTTCTCATCTGTTTTCTCTCCTGTCGTTTCACTTGATTTATTCGTACTCACTTTCTTAGGTATTTTAAAATCAATCTTCTTTTTGGTAGTGCTGCCCAAATTACGATACGATGTATCCAGTTGGACGCGATCATTTTCGATACTCGTTGGCGGAGTGTCCGGTTCCAATGGCTTCTCAGCCTCTTCCAGACGACGGAGCTTCTCTGCCTGTAATCGAGCAGCCTTCGCCTTGGCCTCTCGATGCTCCCGATAGGTGCGCGGTTCGCTTTTGTTCGCCTGAGTTGACGTTGACGGAAAACGTGGGCACCGATTGTTGTAGGTCCCGGGATATACCAAATTGGCATTGGTTTTCTTATAAACATTTTTTTTCGGCCAATTGTTCATATTTTTGCTATAGCTAAAGTTATTGTTATTGTTATTGATATTATTACTATTATTATTATTATTATTATTATTATTATTGTTATTGTTGTTGTTATAGATGTTAGACGCCGGCCAGTTGACTGACGACGAAGCTTCCTCGTATCCTGTAGCATATGGCGGCATAGAATGACCCCTCCCACCTGAATACTGTTGATTGGGCGGCATAGCTGCTCCCATGGGCTGCTGAGTTCCCATCGATTGCCCAGGCATGTTGCTGTTACTGCTGTTGACCCACTTGTTGCAACGCGGATCGCGGGACTCGTGGTAACGCTGCGGCTCATTGTAATCCGCCACAGCTGGATGCAGCTCATCGATGTTTGGCATCTGGACAGGCGGAGCATTTGTGCAGGCAGCAGAGGCCGCTGCCGCCGACGCCGCCGCCGCCGCCGCTGCAGCTGCAGCTGCAGCCGATGTATTAAGATTTAGCGGTGCACGCGTGCGTAGCAATGGAGTTGTATTCGATATATTCGATATGTTGGGCTGAGGCACGCCAACGCGTGGCATATTGAGCGCTGTATAGTTGAGATCAGTCTGCGGCCAATTGACAGGGCCGGGCGGAGTGGGTGATTTGGAAACAGTATGTCTATTGCCCAGATTCATCACATAGCTGGCCTTGCGTCCGCGTGGATCATTGGAGTTGGACGCCAATTGCGGAGCACTTAAATTCGCATTTGCATTCGCATTACCATTCGCATTCGCATTCGCATTCCCCATCAGATTGACATTGATGTCTCGCTCCCCACGTAGGGCAGCCAGCTTTTTGCGTGCCTCTTCCAGGGACTTATCCACATGGCTCGGTTCCACGATAGTCGGCGGCGACGGATTGCTACGTCGCTCAAATACCGCCCTGGGCGAGCTTAGCAATCGTGGACTAATGCTTGAAATGGGAGACGTTGGTGAAGTTGTCGCTGGCGGATTGCTGCGTCGCACAAAATCTGGCCGCCTGCTGCCAATAGGTGAGGTTAGATCTACCGTTGCGCTCGCTGGCTGTGGGCGGCGCTCGAAGTCCGCTTTGGGCGATGTGGATGCTGCAAGCGTTGACGGAGGCACTGGCGCGGGCACAACTACAGGTGGCGGCGGTGGGCACGCTGGCTCCGGTGAACTGGGTGGCGATGGATTATACCGACGCTCTACATCTATTGAGCTCTTGGCTGCCACAACTGGACTTGGTTTGGGCACGGTCGTGGGTTTGGGCGTTGGGTGACTAGTCGACTTGGCTGCAGGATTAGCTGTTTTCGACTTGGCCGCAGGATTAGCAGTTTTCGACTTGGCTGCAGTTTCTCCAGCTGGTTTCGATGCTTCCGGTTGCTTGTCACCCGGAGGATCGGAGTGATCGTCGATGACAATTACCTCTTCATTGAGCAGCTGTAAATTGACAATTTTGTATTTAAAAATCGGACTTACTTCAATTTCAATTTCTTGATTATGTTTACATACCGCTTTAAAGTTGGCTTTTAGCTTATCAATGACGCTCTCAATTTTGGCCAGCGGATAACGCCGATAGAAGTCCTCAGGGGGTATTCTAAAAACACAAAGGGCTTTCATTAACCAACTATACGATATATTTGTACGATATATGTGAAAATCAAAATTGTTCAAGCCCAGCCCATAATTTAATTAAAATTCTCAACATGTACTATGTGGTCTACACTTACTTGATTTCCAGCAGATCTATGAGCAAGCTCAGCTTACGGTACTTTTCCGCGGTCAGCTGGCGTCCATAGGTCTTGACCACATTCCTAATAAAGCTCGCACAGCCGCGCAGCTTCTCAACCTTTTCTAAGTCAGCCGGTAAGATCGGGTCCCCATTTTTCCTTACCACTTTTTCAGCATCATCTTTTTCAGCCATTTATCTAGAAGGCAAAATGAATGACTATAATTTTTTATTTTTTATATAGTTAAATTATTTATAATTTCAAAATACATTAATTTTGTTTATTTGAAATTAATATTAACAATATTTTAAAAATAATTTACACATATAGTCGCGTCTCGTTGAGTCGAATTAGCGAGAATGAATTTTTTTCAAGGAGATAGAATTTTTTGCTTATGACAATTTTCGATTAAACGTGGTGCAAGTTATCGAAATTTGACAGAAATTTCAAATTTCCAGGATACACTGTCATGGCAATATCTAGAAGTAATTTTTAGCTGAGATTTCAGTGCCACTGACTTCGCCTCGGACTTGCGAATTTTCCGAATCGGGTTTAACAGTTTACCTAATACTTTTTCACAACTTGACCAACCTTCCTTAACAAATTTTTAAACACTTTACCTGATTAGTTTAAGGTAATAAGTTACACCAAAATCAACTTCGCTATGTAAATATTTTTGACCAAACTAATATACTCGCTTCGCTGCAATTGAGAGAGTATATGTCATTGGTAAATGTCTTTGTTAGAGAGCTCTATCACAATTATTTATTATTAAATAAATAAATAAAAATAAAACAAATATTTAAAATCTTTCACCTCAAAGATATTAATTATGCACAAACAAATTAATTATGCTCCCTCTTGCAACACTAGAGGCAACACCTGAACTATGACGTATGTATTTGTTGTCTGTTCTTGAATTGATACGCATTCACACATACATATATACATACATACATACACACATAAATCTGGATGGCGAGGTGATAAAGCTCACTGCAGCTAGCTGCCTGTTGCCTGTGGTCTGTGGTCAGGAGCTTAAGATGAGTAATTGAGAAGCTTCATTTAAAGCTTTCACAAAGCAAAAAGCTTTCGGCCAACAGGACGAACTGATTACAATAGCAACGGGAATTGCTGTAAATTACAGCGGATTTGTGTGCATACACAGACAAACATACTTACATACAAAATGCATGCATCCGACATGAGCAACTATTCAAGACGCACACACACACACATATGGGAAACATATGCACATATGTATGTACTTACAATTGCGCACTCACAACATACCCAAGCGTAAACTGAGCCGGCGAATTTGCCGCGCATTTATGAGAATAGAAAGACAAAAAACGTTAAATCTATTTTTAATACACACCACTGTACACGGCTGCAGAGTCCTGTCGCTAGCGTCGTCGGCGACGTCAGCACAACAGCAACAAAGACGAAACCAAAAAAAAAATTTAAAGCTGCACTTGCATGACACCGACAATGCACACACTTCTTTTAATAGGAATTTCAATACACCGTAAACTAGGCTCTTAAGCTCTGTACGTAAACTGGGCAATAATATAAAATAACACAACAAAACAACAGTTTACCAATTATGGTAACGATAAAAAAAAATAACCAAAAAAAAAAAAACAAAATTATAAATTAAATTAAAAAACCCGATCGGCACAATTTAAGTTTTTCTCTCGTTGTTCCTCCATCAAGTAAATTCGATTGACAAATGAAGCAAATGCCGGCATAAACCACAGTGCTGCCACCTAGTTGAACGGAACTATTTATGACACATTTGCAATTTAAATGAATTGCAAAATTTGTTAATAAGTTCAATTCAGTCAAGACCGTACTCTAATACGAATAATGTACTTTTTGTCATTTTTTTGTTAATTTATAAAAATTATTAATGACAATGCTCGTCTGGCAACGCTATTCCTCTTGACAGCAGCTGACAGCTGAATTCGCCGCAGTTTTTGTTTTGGTTTTGCCTATGTCTCATTTTTCGTTTTTGTCATTGTCGCTACCTACTGCCGTCCGCTAAGCTAGTTTGGCTCTTTCGCAATATCTGATCGTTTACATAACTGTATTTACGCGCGCTTGCGTGTATGTATGTGTGCATGGGCTTCTCAGGGTAGAAAACGTATACTATGTACATCGCCGCAGCGATCTTTTTCAATTTTCGATGCGCAAAACCAATTTTTCCCCTGAATTCGTTTCTTTTGCGTTTTTTCTTCTCGTTGTCGCGCCTTAAAGCTGTGCAGAGCGGAGTTTGCTAGAACACATTGTGTCTCTGGAATTACGACGCAGTCAGAAACATCTATGCATGTGTATCTGTGTGCGTGCATGTGCGTAGTTGATCATTTGTATTTGCATGCATATGTATGTGTGTCTGTATATACATATGTATGTACATGTGTGTTTCTAATGTTTCGTATCATTCAAACGGTTCAAACTCTGATTTTAGTTTCTTAGCGGCGGGCCTGAGATGACTATGGGAAAGCCATTATTGAATAACGTTTGTCCTTCACGGAAGTGAAATGAGTATATTGGTTTTGTGCAATACCCGTCTTGCTGTCCGTCCGTCCGACTGTCCGTATGAACGCAATTCATTCAAGCTAGAGACTTGAAATTTGGAAAACATACTGGTGTATATCTCCGACTTATAAAGTGATAAAATTTTCCGGATCCGCCCACTAGGGGCGTGGCAAACCGGAAAATGCATTTTCTGATATGCCAGAAATCATGTTAGTTGAAAAGCCAGAAAGCTGAAATTTGGTATGTAGATCCGCGTCGACCACCCAAGATCACCAGCTATGGCGGATATATCTCCGCCCATTGGGGGCGTGGCAAATCGTATAAAACTGTATCTCCCAAAGTGGTAAATCTAGAATGCTGAAATCTTGCACGTGAGCTAATGTTTCGATTCTTTAAAGATGGGCAGATAAATTATATATCTATGCCAACTAGGGGCGTGGCAAATCAGACCTGAAAATATAGTGATTTCTCAAATTCTGCGAAATTTTAGGTGTATACACGCAGGTTGACCTCCCAAGTCCAACGAGCTGTGATGGATTATTCTCCGCCCAAAGGGGGCGTGGCAAACCGCAAAAGTTTATATCTCCCAAAGTGTAAGAGCTAGAAGTTTCAAATTTGGATAGTTGAGTTATCAGTAACCTCCTCTATCACTTCTCTAAATAATATTGTTACGCCTCTTTAGGGACGTGGCATATCAAAAAATACCCTGTAATTTTTTCATTTTTTGAACGTAAGCATCCAAATTTTCCAGCTAGGTTACGCTTAACTTGTTCTTTTTTATGAGCTGGCCAAAAATGAAGTGTCTACACCCAGTAGGGGTGTGGCAAATCGAGAAAACCTGAATTTTCTACAGTATTAGAGCAAAACTTGGCTACTAAATTGCTGATGGGGTGTGAATGTGTATTCCGCATTCGGTAACGCCCGACTGCAACATTCTTCCTTTTTTTTTTAATGTCTTCATATATAGAGAGAAAAGTTCTTGGCTATTAATTTGTATAGTAAAGGTTATTCGGCTGTGGTTGTTCTCCCAAATATCAGGTGAACGCAGAGCAAACATTAAGTAAATTTTTTTTTTTTTTTAACTAGCATAAACTAGACATATTGCTTAGAATATTGCCACTTTTAGTTGTATGTGTTGATAAAATAAACAAATAAATATTATTGAAATATTAAACTTGACACAAAATATTATAAGTTTATATACGATCATTTCTTATTTCAGAAAATAAGTTTTTAGATTTTCAAATATCTTTGTAATGAAATCTAAATCTTAAGAATTGTACAACAATCGCAGAAGAAGTCAATGATAAAGATGAAAACTAAAGATGGTTTTCTCATACAATACTTGTTTTCTTTATCAATTTTCAATTTAATTTCAACTTATTTCACTCTTTGTTATAACTACAGATTTTTGTGAATGGTACTTAACAATAATTTAAGTGTTAGGGCTAAGAAAACTAAAGATGTTTTTCTCATACAATACTTTATCAAATAATAATGATAGTAATACCATACCAAATCAATGTATTAGACAAGAACTTTGGCATATTAGCGTCTTAGGCCTTAGTTCACACAGTTTATTGATGGCACAGTTGGTATGAAAGCTATCTATAGAGGGTAAGAGCAGTAAGTACAATCGTAGGTGCGAGTGTGAGAGGAGAAAGCAGGAGCACTGATGCCTTGTTCAATCCTTGGTGTTGTCTTTTACTCTGAACCCATTCAAAATGGGAAATGGAAATGGGAAATCGGGATCTAAACGTTTTTAGCCCTGCCCGCCTGTCCGTCTATCTGTCCGTCCGTCTGTGCGTATGTTTGAACGCGTCGATCTCAGATCTTTTGAGACTTGAATTTCTTTTTTGGATATTCGTATATATAGCGCAGGTATCAAGTTTATATATTCAAAAATCGATAACTTATTCCGTTATTTTTGATAATCACGATCTAAAGTTAAATAAAGAGGTTATTGAGGTTCCCATTGATAACGGGAAATCAGGGTATAGTGGTGCTCTAATAATGTATGTAACAGACAGAAGAAGGCGTGGCAGCCCCCCATAGAGTACATATATTCTTGATCACGGCGACAAGCTGAATTGATATAGTCATCGTTCGTATGAACGCCGAGATATCAGAAGATATCAAACAAATTTGCGGGTATACTCGAACATACCATACGCAGTACAGGTTTATTAACGATTAGTGATGTTACCTCCGCACTGTGTATGACTTCTTGAGAGCTAACACATTTGTGCTTATATTAGTAGTCCACATTTTAGTGAATCTGAATCTAATCCCTAACGGGATTAGGGTTTATGCCATGGTCTAGAGATATGGAAGCTGGTTAGCTTTCCATACTTTTATTATATTTTTATATGAATTAGTCCTCAATTGTTTGTATCCATTTGAGTGTAGAGTCATTCTTATTCTTTATGCAGATTTGTGCTATACTCTAAGTAGTTATTGCATTCAGAGCTCATTTATTTACGTTACTTTTTTTAGTAACACTCGTGTATAAGTACACGTCATCCCCTTAGCTGATAAGATTAGGGTAAGAGCAACACAAATCGCGAAGATGTATATTCTTAACAAAATTCAGCTTCCGTTTGGTTCTGCGAATTCCATACGAAATATTTGGCGTTCGGTCCGGTTAAAATCG